TATACTATGGTGTTCATTCTTCTAATATTGTTTCAGAACACGTCTTCATCTCATCAAACAGCTTACAAAACAGAATATTCATCCTGTAGCTAAATTCATCGTGCACTCAGGACCAGCACACAACTACCTTTACTCTCCAATATGGCCTGTGGATGACACTTGTGAATTGGACCATCTATTGCTGTTGCTCTTTGAAAAGAAGCATTTTCATCATTGCTTTTGATGAAAAGCAAGTTAGTTCAATCTTCCATTTTTCCTTGCCTCCAGTAATTCTGGTCTGCTCGATCATTCAGCTGATCAGCAGATAGAAAATAAAGGCCAGGCACAGTGGCTCATACATGTAATCCCAGCACTTTGGGAAGATAAAGTGGGTAGATCACTTGAGGTAGAAGTTCAAGACCCGGCCCCAATGTGTGGTGAAACGCCATTTCTGCTAAAAATGCAAGATGGCTGGGTGTGATGGCATGCCTGTAATCCCAGCTCGGGAGACTGAGGCAGGAGAATTGCTTGAACCCAGGAGGCAGAGGTTGCAGTGAGAGCCAAGATCGTACCACACACTCTAAGCTGGGCAACAAAACAAAACTCTGTATCTCAAAAAAGAAAAAAAAAAAAAAAAAAAAAAAAAAGGGAAGAGAGAGAGAGAGAAAGGAAAGAAAAAGCATGGGCCACGGGTTGGAACTGGAGTGAGGTATGATTGTCACTGCACACCAGCCTGGGTGATGGGAGAGAAAGGAAAAAGAGAGAAAGGAGAGAGGGAAGAAAGGAAAGGAGGAAGGAGGCAGGGAGGAAGAAGGAAGGGAAGAAAGAAGAAAAAAGGGCAAAAAGAAAAGAACAAGCATGCAGGAGAATTTGAAGCAGGCACGTTGAGTTCTTGGGTTCCTGAGTCCTGCATACACCGTGGACCATCAGCCAGCGAAATCCGTTCTTGTTTACACCTGCAGACCCCTGCTAACCAAGATGGTCAATGTGGCGGGATCCCTCAGGAAGGTGAGAACAGAGGACATTTGCCTCTTAAAGGGTTAAACTCTAAGTTACTTTAATTGTGAAGCAGAGACATATAACATATTTAGGAAAAACAACAAATTGCAGTCATACGATGTGATTAACCTGAATGGACATATGCTGCAGCTGACCAGGAGGTGTCCTCCAGAAACCCAGGATGGGCAACTGGGGAAAGAATGCAAAGGAAGGTGAGGTAGCCCAGCAGCACTTTGGCTGCCACGCACCTGCAGGGGAACAGACCACCGCTCAAGACAGGCCTCCAGGGACACAAGACCCCGGCCCAGGAGCCTGAGCATCTGCTACTTCAGATGTGGTCTCTTTATTGGAACAAATCAATATAGTCCCAGATCTCTGGTCTGCAGCCACTGATCTGGCAGATATTTTTCTCTGTACCTACTGATATAGGTTGAGGTTTTGTCTCCTGCAATCTCCTTGTCCAGCTGTTTGTTCTCATCTGGCAGGGACAGCAGCAGCGTGGTGGGGAGTGCATCAGGGCTGTGCTACCTCTCCACTTCCTCCATACAACCTAGAGCTCAGGGCTGTAGCTGTCTTGCCATTCCACGAGACATACCATGGCCCATCACATCAGTGATGTGGACAGGAACAAGACACCCACTGTTTTGGTGAAATTACGACCGCCTGGGCTGGGATGTAACTCTCCTAAGAATGCACAGGGCTGCTGCTTTGGAAGTTTCTGGGGCCATGATCTAGGACGGTATGGATGCACTCTGTGAGGGAGGACAGGGTGCTGTGCCCCACGTCCACTGGCATTAGGGGTGGGCAGGCACTCTGAGTCTCTCTGGAGCTCTGCAAACAACATCCACCAGGCCACACGCTACTCTGCTCACTTTCCAACTAACCTACACAAAACTGCCAGTTCCATGAAGTGTAGAAAAGCCAGCCTCAGAGCAGGTAGATGTAAAAGCTGGTCTCCCCGTTAGGCCACGGTGGCAATTAGATCCCATGATGCATGGCAGAGTTACAGACAGGCCCATAGCATAGACCCCTAGGGTTCTGGGGACAAAACCACCCTCCTCTGCACATAATTATATGAGAACCAGCTCTCAGCTTGTCCTCTAGGCCCTGATGGATACTGAACATCTATACTTCACCATGGCACAGCTAGTGACAGTTAGCTGGAACTTGAGTGGACACCAAGACTGCGTTTTCCTGACCTGTCACATCACCAGGTGAGTCAGCTGCGGGAGCACGTCTTCATTACATTTCAGGCAAGGCAGTATATATTTAATAGGTATATAGGTGTACACACACACACAAGCATGCATGCATATGCACGCACACACACACAGGTTAGGCTTTGGCATGTTCTGGAGCACAAGATACACAAGCAAGTGGTTCTGACTCTTTGAACCCACAGCTGCATGGACAGCACCCCGCCCACCATGCACCTATTGAAAGCCCCACGGGACACCCTAGGACCACTCACCCGAATTAAAAGTTGGATTTGATTTCTGCAAAAGGTGCTGGCGACTGACACCCTTGAAGGTGAAAGTTGGCAACGTTCTAACCCATTTGAGTGGCCCTAAGAACAGCAGGGGAGGGCCCATGCTCTCAATGTAGGTAGCACGATGGCTGCCTCATGCATGGTAACCTTTCTCCAGCCACCCAGCCTTGCTCAATGTTCTCATCAACAAACTGGCCATGGAGGCAGTGAAGGATGTCAATGCTTCAACCACATGGGCGTCCTCCTCCCAAGGCTATAGTCTGGCTAAGGTCCACTGCTAAATGTATAAATCTGCTAATACTAGGAAATATATAAATCACAATTCCTAGTATGAAAAACTCAACTGGAAAGAAGAGCCAGCCCCCAAGTACATCCCAGACCATATGTTCTGGGAGGTTGGGGAACACCTCTTGGCCACTGCACCCCACACCTGGCTCACAGAAGCTCCATCTGCTGCAGGTTGCTTCCAGTACTGCTTCCAGAACCCGTCTGACAGCCAAGCTCAGCAGTGAGGCCTGTGACAATCGTGATCCGGCACACACCCACTACCTCAAGGGTCTCTAAGCTGTTGAGTGCTAGCATCAAGGACCACCAAGGCTTCCTCAGTTCCAAATTGCCTGCTTCAAGTATCAATCAACAAGTGATATCAGTTACTCCCATGGCAGAGAAAAGCACGGGTGGAGGCACACGTGGAAGCGAGAATGGCCCCTCTCATTATCCACCTGCACCATAGCAAGGTTTTGGATTCTCCGCCCACAATTCTGGACTCTGCTGGTTTGAGTGTCTTCATTCCTCAGATGCTTCCACAGACAGACTGCGAGGTGCCCACTGCCCTGCAGGCGGAGGCTACTCTGCCCAGCACTGGATGCCTTGTGCCAATGAGCCAGAAGAGTTTACTGCTACAGCGAGGGGACTGTTCGACTGTCTTGAGGAAATATAGCTCCCACCACAGATTGGGGGGCTGGGAGGAGGGTCTGGAATTTATGGGATTCTCTAGCGAACCTCTTGTTCCTAAGTCAGTGATAAGTCAATAAACCTACAGGTGCCCAAAATGAGAAAGATTTCTGATGGGAAAGACCTTTTGGGAATGAGGGCTGGAGTTAACTCTGCAGGTGAAAAACCACCACCTAGAGAGAGAGAGGCAAAGGAAAAGGAGCATGGAACAGTGGCAGAAAGGAATTTTCAAACACAAACTTCTGCCAGATCATCAGGTTGCAAAAACAGGAGCCGCGTAGCAGTTCTGTGTAGTCTCCTCACTGTACAGCTAGATACACCGGTATCTACGAGCTAACTCTACCAATCCAGTTCTTTCTTTCCCTCTTCCCATCCCAGCACCATTAGCAGGGCCAGTCAACCTATAGTCATCCACATGCAAGTGCTTATCAGAGAAAGGTGTGACGGCGCTATAAAAGAACAGTCCCAGAGTGGGAATACTGACACATGGGATTTGTGCTTTGTGTCTCCACTTTTGGGAAGAGGAAGAACCATCTTCAGTTGCACAAGAGAGAGTTGTATCACGTTAGGCGGAAGCATCACGCTTCCCCAGAGGTGTTGTTTACAAGGGGCCGGAGCTGAGCTGGCAGAGGACAAACAGCATGTGTTCAGCTCTGCTGCCACCGCGGCCCCCAGGTCTCCTCAGCTGAAGCAGCCTCAGAATGCCAGTCCTTCCATGGCTGCCAGCTGCACCCTGTCAAGGTTTGGAAGGTGGAAAAAGAGAAGCAGTGATTCACGGAGGGTGGGGCAGGGTGGCCCATGCCCAAGCAGACACGAGGTCAGGGTGGCCGCCCAGGGCTTCCAGAGGCCCGGCTTTGCAGCTGCCAACTCGGGCAGTGGGGGCTCTCAGGCACCTCGAGAGCTACTGGCTGACTGCAGGAACCCTCGAGTCAGAGACTTGGGTTCATCAAGCAGGGTCTGTGAATAGCAGCTTCCTAATCTCCTTTCCCCAAGCTCTCCCAGACCCTGGGATGTGAAACCCCCATCTAAAAACAGAGGGAAGGGCTTCTGCTAGTTTGCCAAGCGCTGGCCAGGAGGCCTGCTGTCGCACCAGCACCTGCCCACCTCCCCTTTCAGGAGCTGCTCTCCAGCACTGACCTTGGAAGCTTAAATTTATCAGTCCTCTCCTCAGTCCCAGGGCCTCACCCTCCCTGCCCTGATGGCTGGTCTAGGAGTCAACGTCTCCCGAGGTCTGGCCCGTGAATGCAGGGGAAGGTCCCAGCCACAGCAATCGTTCTCAAGAGTAGGCATGTGGCCAGTAACAATGGAACTACACATTTCTGAGTAACAGTTGGGTGAAAGCAGCTCTCCCTTCTTCCTCTGGACAGTGTGTTATGGAGAGATGGAACCAAAAACCACAGCAGCCATTTGGTTACCACAAAGGAAGCCAGACTGAGACTCACATTGACCACTCGGAAAGGGTAAGAAATCAGAACACTGCAGAGAAACGAACCTGGACCCTGGTCAAGTAGACCCTCAACTCCACCCTATCTTTGGGTTTTCAATTTGCATGCTGTTAAAATCTGTTAAAATGAAAGGCATCCTGACTTATAGGTTTTTCATAGTACTTTACTTGTGGATTTCTTGGCTAAATGTATTAACATTTGTTTCTTCTCACTAAAAGTCCAAATTTTCAACAAAACTGTATGTGTAAGATTGATAGTTTCATTCCACTTGTTCTTTTAGTAACTGGTGCTTAAGCCACAGGTTCTCAGTGTACTGCAAGATCGACTTTACAAACCTGTAAAAAAAAAAAAATTAATTTCTTTATCCATTCCATTAGAAAATCAAACAATGAATTAAATGTCTTCTCTTCATTCTTAGATTATTCCTAAATTGCACTTAATTTATGTCTGAGGATTCAAGAAAAATAAATCCAATAAAACAAAAATAAGAGAATACAAATTAGAGGAAAGAGAAAAATACTGAAATGTAAATGCTACTGGACACTTGGACAGGCTCCAACACAAGCACCTTTTCAGACATTCCTTCTCCAGCCCAGACATGACCGTCATTCCAGGAAGGAACTTAAAAAGTCCATCTGCACCAAACTGACACATAACACATAATAAACACACAACAAAAAATAAACACACAACACACAGTCATCCACTGGATATCAAAATCCAAGCATACTCAAGTCCAGCATGAAAAATCAGCTCCCTGAACATGCGGGTTTCACCATGAGATTTTTGTGTTTGTTTTTCCACATTGATATTTGCAGCCAAGACCACCAATTTCAATCTGTGCTTGCATGGGCATGAAACCTGCTGATACAGAGGACCAACTGTATTTACTGAAAAAGCTCCTGGACAAGTGGACCTGTGCAGTCCTGCAAACCTCGTTGTTTCAGGGAGTCGGCTGCAATGACAAGCGAGCCGCCCACCCCAGCCCTGTCAGAGCACTCTTGGGCAGCGTGCCGTCCCCCACTCCTCACACATCAGCTTCCATCCCCCATGATGGAGGGCCGCCGGCTCAGAAGGAGGCGCCTGAGTGCCACTGAGACAGCTGTTGCTGTTAATGAGATTTTACTTAAGATATTTGTCAAAATGTTAACAGCGGGCTCCCACTCTGACTGAAGACAATAAATGTGTCTTTACTTTTTCCACGATTGCCAGGTAGTTTTCACCAACACTTTATCTTGAAAATATTCAAACCCTAAACAGAAGCTAAAGGATAATATGATGAAAAGCCACAGGAACACTTTGTCTAGACAAGGGTTCTCTACTGGGTGATTTTGTCCCCCAGGGGATATCTGGCAATGTCTAGGGCACTTTTGACTGTCATATGGAGGGTAGAGTGCCATTGGTATGTTGTGGTGAGCAGGGCTGCTACTGAGCGTCCTACAATGAGCAGGGCAGTCCTGCACCAGCCCCCACCAATGCCAGCAGTGCCAAGCATAGGGCACTGAGCTGGAGTCCTCAGCTGCTAACAGTCTGCCGTTTGCTCCTCCTCTCAGCAGGAGTCTATGCTTCTTTCCACAAAGCACCCAGGGTGTACTTTCATTCATTTAAATGTGTACTGAGGTGCTTGGCACCTGCAAAGTATTGGCTTAAAACCAGCAAGATATCCAGAACTTCCTGGCAGCCAAGGGAGGCTGGAGCAGGAGCTGCACTCAAGCCCAGATAGCCGCTTGTGTCACACGCTGCCTGGAAGCCTCCTTGGTTTGGAATCTCTGGATGTAAAGTGGGTCACACAAGTGTCACACTCGCCAGACTCCCAGATCGGGATGGTCTAAGCGGACTTTCGAATTTGAAACTATTAGTTACATACGCGGGTGGTTTTGGCTGGGCACAGTGGCTTTTACACCTCTAATCCCAGCACTTTGAGAGGCCAAGGTGATCACTGAGAGGGGCAACACAGTGAGACCTCATCTGTAAAATCATTTAAAAATTAACCAGGTATGGTGGCATGCCTGTAGTCCCAGCTACTCAGGAGGCTGAGGTGGGGGATCACGAGCCTGGAGGAGTCGATGCTGCAGTGAGCCGTGATTATGCCGCTGCACTCCAGCCTGGGCAACAGAACAGAACTCTCTCCGAAAAACAAACAAACAAACAAACAAAACGTGGTTTTGAGACATTTGGATATGGGGAGTTCTTCTTGCAGGCCACATGTCAGACTCTTGCCTGAGACGGCAGTGGGGCCACCAAGGAGATGGTGGCCCTCATACTGCCCCAATCTCACTCCTACAGGCTCAGCCCAATCTGACCCATGATGCAATGCGACTACAGAGAAGTGGGACATACTCACTTTGGAAGTACTACCTGCTGATACTCATGCGCATTCTTTCCACAAACAGCATGAACATTGACCAACTCCAGCGTAATGGAGGTAACAGGATCAGGTTGAGCACAGGGGACAGTAGTCTGATACTAAAAACAGATGAAAGTAAATTCAAATGTGAGGAACGTTGGTACTTTCCACCTTCATCAGGAAAAGGATGAATCATCAGGATGTTTCCTGATCAACATCCTTAAGTCCCAACTTCTCAAAATAATTTTCCTAATCCTAGAACCCAATGCCTGCTTCAGTCCCCAGGCCCGTGGCTGGCAGTGCCAGTGTAACCCTTGTGACCCATCCTGCACGTCCACATTCCTTGCTCATCAGTCATCCTCTGAGACTCTCAGACATCTGACAGTCTACGTCAGAACTGCCAGAAGCTCTGCACACTCACGGGGCACCAGGCAGGCCCAGTCTGCGCCCAGCAGCCCCCTGCACGCCCTGCCCTCTGACTTCTAGGGAGGGACTCTCACCAGAGGAAAACAAATGGCCTCAATACAGCTTAGGCTCAATGCCACCAGATTAAAGAAATCCCAACTAAAGTAAGATCTTATTTTTTCCCTTGAAACTAGTGGAAACATTTAAAAATATTCTGGTTTTGGAGAGTGGTAATAAGAAAATCACCTTGTCTTATAAACTGCTGGTAAGAGTATAAATTGAGTAGCACCTTTCTGGAGGGGAATCCAGCCATATCTATTTAAAGCTTTAAAAACACAGATACTCAACCCAAAGTTCTAGAAATGTATCCAAAATGGTCATTTCTTAAGGATGTAGCACGTTCTAAAATATACACTGTAAGTGAAGAAACCATAATGCTGTTAATCTGCTATTAAGTTAATCTGCTGTTATATTTTAAATCCAAATCAAGTTAATCTGCTGTTATACTTTAAATCCAAATATTCATTTAGGTAGATAGAACCCACATTTCCATATGCCCAAATTACAAACACTATTTAAAATAGTATGTACTATATAACTTTCTACTTGAAAATCAGCATGGGGAGTCCTCACAGTCCTCAGGTAACATCATTTCATTCAACACTGTTTACGTCACAACATCAGTGAGAAAAGAAATCGATACCCGCGATACCCGCTTCTCACGTGTGGAGAAGCACGTTGCATGGGTTTCTCCCGTCCCCCAGTTTCCTCCTACATCCCAGAGCTGTGCACATTAGGTGAACTGGCGCATCTCCATGGTCCCAGAGTGAGTGTGGATGTGTGACTGGCCCTGCGGCCAGACTGTGTCCTGTCAGGAGTGGGTCCTGCCTTGTACCCGGAGCTGCGGGGGATAGGCTCCAGCCACCCTGACTCTGAACTGGAATAAGCAGGTTAGAAAAATGAATGAATGAATGAATACAAATTATAAGAACATAAAGTCTACCATCATCATACAAGTGCTCGACAGTGCGTGCTGGTACAAAAGTGCTCAGTGACCCACATGTTTGTTCCTGTTGGTGCTGGAGCTGTGTGGGGGAAGGGCGGGCCTGAGGAGGTCTCCTCTCCAAATATTTATTGCCTCATTTAACCACCACAGGACTGCACGGACTGCCGTCGCCACTGCCCTGCGCCAAACACTGAGTAGTTCTCACTTGTTTTTATTCATCTTTCTTAAATGTCCATAGAGCTCATATGTACCTCAATGTTGAACACTGTAAGTGTTTTGGGTCTTTCTTTAGGCGTTTGGTAATATTTTTATGACCAGAAACATGCTGGGAACGCTTTGTTTCATCGTGAAAGGAAAATAAATCTCAGGACCCCAAACTCACTAAGCCAAAGGGAAAAGTCAAGCTGGGAACTGCCTCTGACAAACCTGCCTCCCATTTTATTCCTAAATAAGGTGGCTACAAGAGAAAAAAGCTACATACAGACCTCCCTCACAGTTTGTCCACAAGGAAATGCCTTGTGGGCCTCAAGATCTTTACCTGGAAAGACTTCTGCTCAATTTCACCTGGCAATTGCAGTTGCCAGCCAGTCTTCCCAGGAGGGGTGGCACAGGGGCGTCATCCCTCAGCTCCTGAGACAAATACCTGTGATTGCTTCCTCCTGCCTATGTAAGTACCTTCACTGAGCCACACTAAGGTGTAAGTAGCTGTTCCCTCTACCCCACTCCTTAAGTCAATTTGTGTATTCACGAAAGGCTCATCAAGACTCAAAACAGTACAGTTCTTTGTCTCTTGTCACCTATAACCTGAAGGCCCCACCCTTTGTGTTTTCCTGCCTTTCCAGATGGAACCAATGTACACCTTACACCTACTGACTGATGTCTTATGTCTAATTAAAATGTATAAAAATGTGTAAAAAGCAAGCTAGCCCCAAGTACCTGGGGCACATGCTGTCAGGACCTCCTGAGGCTGTCACAGCACGTCCTTAACCCTGGGATAAGCTTTCTAAAGTTGAGACTTGTCTCAGATACTTTGGGTTCATACTATCAATTGTGAACTCCAAGTATATCAACACCTGTCGATGGGAGGTTCAGTGGGGGCCTACTGTGTGTGTCTTCAGTGGGGACTAGAACTGCATCTGTGACAACTTCCTGCCCCACAGTGCCCCTCCAAAACAGGAAAGTGAGCGCACACCTACTCCACATACGCAGGTAGTTCTGCCGCTGGCGAGACCGCAGCGTCCTCTCTACCCACTGCCTGTGTCTCAGTTCTGGGAGCCAGCAGTGACCTAGCCAGACACGGTGGCACTGCTTGCCGATGCTTCGGAGCACAACCAGCACTTCCAGCACAATCCTGGGGCAGAACAGGGTACGAATGGGTGTGCTGCAGAGCTCAGGGAGCAGCTGGGGCCACCTGCAAATAGAGCCAGACTTGGAGCAGGCATCGTGATCCTCACCTGTACCTCACTCTCCTGTACCTGCAAGGCTGCGGCTTTCTGAGGCAGGGCTAGCTGTGTATCACTGGTGGGTCTGCAAGACAGCACTGTGACATCTGCGGCAAGTGTTAATTAAATACAATGAATTGTGGCAAACAATGTGACATTCACAGCCTCATCAGCTGTGCCACGCTTGCACAGAGATTGTCAAAACTGATCTCATAATGCCTCTTGGAGCAGTTACAGTGGGATTCTAAGACTACTTTATAAAATCTAAAACATAGAAAATGTCTAAGTTTGCTATGCCAATCTGCAGAATCAATGTTTCAACAGTTGTCAGGATGTCCTGGAACTTACGTCTCAGTAGGAAGATGATCCAAGTCCTTTAAAACACAATGATCCTCAGGCATATGGTGATACAGCTCATCAAATCATTTTTGTAATTAAAGAGTGGCAGGCATTTGTTTCAGAATTATCTTCTAATCTGAAAAATAGAAAATATTTAAAGATACATGACAAAATGCCCACATTAGTGCCCATGCACAATAATGTTTAATGGTTCACTGAGCAGCAACCTGACTGTGAATCTTAGTTTCCCCCAAATATAAAATGTAAAAGCCACCATCACGAGACAGTGGGGAAGAAGCGATGCCCTATGCCAAAAGTAAAAGTCCAATGATGACGGAACGATGAACCACCTGCGTATTCCTCCTGCTGAACAAGTATGTCTGCTGTTGTCTACGATTCCAGAATGCATGTCTCCATCCCACTTCTCTCCTGAGCTTGGAACCCATCTGCTTCCTGCCTACTCAGTAGTTCTCATGGATGCCATTGTCTACCCACAAAACCTGCCTCTCGTTCCATGGTATTCAGTCCTCACCAGGGCCCCAGGCCAGCTGGAAGATCGCAGGTGCCAGCATCACTTGCAGCTCCTCCACAGCCACAAGGCCCAGAAATTCCTCCTTCCCTTTTATTTTCCAACAGCCTCGCCTAAGAAGAAATGCTGCTGAAACTAACGATACCAGACAAGCTTGGGGAGATCAGCCCAGGCCCCAGGATGCCACGTACCTGACTGCTCCCAAGTGAGTTCTTCGGGAAAGGCAGAGCCCAAACCCTGATACTCTCCTCACAGCTCAGCACCTGGGATGAAATGTTTTATTGCTTTTGTAGATTTCATAGTAACTTCCTAGAAAATCTGTTTTTAGGTCGTTATGGATGTTACATCACTCTCTAGAAAATACGTATCTGTAAAATTATTACAAATTCTAAACATTTTAAAACCAGATGGTAGGTGTCAGTTCTTCAATACCCAGATGGGGAAGGCTGGGGAAACCACCAGAAGTTGGTAGGAGTGAACGTCTAGGATAGCTATGACCATGCCCCACAGGTTCTTTTGACACCTGCATTGAGAGAGCAGGGCCTGAAATCTGCATGAACTCTGGTGACTGGCCTGGAACCAGCAGAACTGGCAGGTGTGAAGATGCTGCATGTTATCCAAAGCCATGTCAGAGGTGCAGGTGCCTCTCCAGTTCAGGCTGTGCTCGGGGTGCAGCTGCTGTCACCTTGGGACTGTCCCTGCAGGACCCCCATGGGCCTCACAGCCTTCCAGTCTTCTCGAGGCAAGCACCCCACGAAGCCTGGAGACCACCGCCGTCCACACCCAGGCCAGACCACAGGACAGATCCCTCGGCAGATGGTCCCCATTTCTAACCCACTAGCACATGAGCAAGTCAAACGGTGGCTGCTGACACCACGGAGCGTGAGTGGTCTCAGCAGCAGGAATAACAGCCCAGGATGCAAAGCTGCCCTGAATACCTGTGAGATGGGAGGACAGGAAGTGGTAAGAAGGACCCAGCTCCCATAGCCACCGTGGGGCACAGGAGAGGATGGTCTGGAGCCTCAGCAGCTCTGGTTGGAAGACAAAGGCTGCCTTCTTGAAGCTCCTCTTCCTTCCTAAATCTTCCTTCCTCCCTACCTGCCCACCTCTACATTTCTAAGGGCTTGTGCTTGGAAAGCACGGCAATCCCCACTGGTAAAGCTGATCTGCAGCACCAACGGGGAATGGCATTCGACCAGTGCAGCCCGATGCTCTGCCTCCAAGCCACACCTCCAGGAGGCTGTTCTCCCAACTTCACTGCTGACAACCCCCTTCTGACAGTATTTTCCTGAAGGCATTCTCAAGGAGGCCTCCGACTTCTCAGAGCACCATTTCTTTAAAGTGCCTTTCATAAATCCTCTGATCCCTGTGTGTTGATTTATAGCTTCCTTTTAGAGGTAATCTCATTTGAATTTTTCACCTGCACAGCTGTCACGATGCTTATATTCTTGGGGACTGTCTCTTTCATCCTTGCACTACCCTTGAATCCTCCATTATGCGAATAAAGCACCTTCGCTGGATGCCAAATTGGAACTTTCTGGCAGAAATGCTTAAAAAATTGTTTGTTTCAGTAAGTTAACAAAAGCTAGTCCGTGCAGGAGAAAAACTGGCCGTTACTCACCACTGACAAATCACATTGCTCCCAGCTCTGCGTTACTGCCTACAGCAATAAAGCCTGCCAGGGGATTCAGCAAAACAATTCCCGGTACTCATCGACCCAACACTAAAAACCTCAGTGCCATCAACAGCACTGCATTACTTTCAACTGCGAGACACGGAACTTGAGGCTCAGAAGACTGAGCAACCAGGCCAGGGCCACAGCAAGCACCACGCTGGCTAGCAAGCTGGATCTGCCCAACTCAAAGTCTGACTCAGCAGGCAAATACCCTTCAGCATCTCTGCAAGACAGGTGGTTTCAGGGAGACGTACACACCTGAGACGTACACACCCCTCCCAGCACCCTGCATTCGGCATACCTGTTTCTTAAGCTGAAAAACTGGATGGCAGCGAGAACTATAGCCTTCTGCAAGACTAATCAACAATTTTACTGATGCTTTTTCCTAGTTTAGAGAAAACAGTGGTTACTATTGTATTTGGGTAGGCTCTTAGCTTTCTTCTATTGAACTGTAGGCCACTTAGAGTCCCCATTTCTCATTGTCTTTCTTCAAATAATTCCATGCAGCTTGAAAAGCAAAGTCTTCATTAAAATAGGATTGACATGGCAGGCAAATCACAGCCAATAAAATCATTTCAAATGGAGGCCATTAACAATAACAGATCACAAATGCCACACCCACCCTCTGTGCACAAAACTGGAGATGAGTAAGAAAAAAAGATTCCAAACAATTGGAAATTTAACTAAGAAATAGTTAAACACTAAAAATCAATATAACTATAAAAAGATCACATAATCATTTAATTGCTAAGCATATACATATTTCTAAAAGCATAAAAATTACATTATTTGAAGTTGATATAACCACATAACTTAAAAATCCAAGTCAGTCAACTAAAACCCATGAGAAAGAAAGTCAGTGAATTGACAGTTGACAAATTAAAAAATCTGTAACTACCTACAATTCTTTTTTCTTTTCTTTTCAAGACAGAGTCTTACTCTTTTTACCCAGGCTGAAGTGCACTGGTGTGATCTCGGCTCACTGCACCCTCTGCCTCCCAGGTTCAAGCGATTCTCCAGCCTCAGCCTCCTGAGTAGCTGGGATTACAGGCACCCAACACCACGTCCGGCTAATTTTTTTGTATTTTTATTAGAGACAGGGTTTCATCATGTTTGGCCACGCTGGTCTCAAACTCCAGACCTCAGGTGACCCACCTGCCTTGGCCTCCCAAAGTGCTGGGATTACAGGTGTGAGCCACTGCACCCGGCCCACTACCTACAATTCTTAAAAGCACAAAACAAGCAACTCAAGTAGCTAGATGTTAACTACAGAAGAAATGTGCTGGCCTTCCCTTCACTTAGATGTGTGAGAGCCTGGAGCGCACCAGGGAGTGTGCTGAGCGGAACACAGGAGGCACACGCATGTGCCTGCATGGGTGACGTCCCCACAGGGCGGACACACACGCAGCATATGTGTGCCACTGCAGAGCGGTGTATCTGTGCCACTGCAGAGCACCTGGCTTCTGTTCCAAAATGTGAACCCACCCAAGGGCTTCTGAGGAGAGGATGACATGTTGGGAAAAACATCAGTCTGGCTGCTGTGTTATGACAAAGAGTAGGGTTCGCAGAAGTCGGTGGGCAGACCAGTCAGTGCCAGCGACATTCCAGGGAGGGGCCAAGGTGGTGTGGCCAGGTGGTGGCACAGGAGGGACAGGGAGTAGCAGATGTGGAACATATTTCTTTTTTGTTTTTTCTCTTTTTTTATTTTTCTGAGACAGAGTCTTGCTATGTCATTCAGGCTGGAGTCCAGTGGCACAATCTCGGCTCACTACAACATCTACTTTCCGTGTTCAAGCTATTCTCAGGACTACAGGCGCCTGCCACCATGCCCAGCTAATTTTTGAATTTTTAGTATAGACAGGGTTTCACCATGTTGGCCAGGCTGGTCTCGAACTTCTGATCTCAGGTGATCTGCCCGCCTCGACCTCCCAAAGTGCTGGGATTACAGGCGTAAGCCACTGCGCCCGGACTGTGGAACATATTTCTAAGACCTGTTCCAAGAACTGAGTATGAAGAGAGGAGAGGAATCTGAGGCTTCCAGCCTGAGCAGCCACCTGGGAGGCTGGAGGTGCCACGTAGATGGGAGGACTTGAGGAATGAAGATGGGGAGACACTGTGTCCCTGAATAAGCTTCAATATTGTGAAAAATGTCAATTATCCCTAACTCAATCCATGAGGTGCTCATTCTTACTTGTTTTTTGAGTTTTATGTTTGTCCAAGTTTACACAGAATAATAACTATTAATTCTTTTTAAAGTAAAGCTAGACTTTGTACCTTACTCTCAAGATGAAATAAATTCCAATTGGATCAAAAGATGTAAATGGAAAATAAAGAAAAAATAGGCAGGGCGCGGGGGCTCATGTCTGTAATCCCAGCACTTTGGGAGGCCGAGGCAGGTGGATCACAAGGTCAGGAGTTCAAGACCAGTCTGGCCAACATGATGAAACTCCACCTCTAATAAAAATACAAAAAAATTAGCCGGCAGTGGTGGTGGGCACCTGTCATCCCAGCTACTCGGGAGGCTGAGGCAGAGAACTGCTTGAACCCGGGAGGCAGAGGTTGCAGTGAGCTGAGATCGCGCTACTGCACTCCAGCCTGGGTGACAGAGCAAGATTTTGTCTCGAAAAAAAAGAAAGAAAAGAAAAAAGAAAAAATAGAAGTACCAGAGAAAATGTATACATATATTTTTAATTTTGAAAAGCAAAGATTCTTTTCAGAATGACTCCAAATGTGAAGCCAAAGAGAAAAAAAAAATCAAAACCTACGAACAAATAACAAAGCAATATGTACACAAAGAAGGCTAATGAACCAATGGGAAAAATAAAACTGAAATAAATGGAGAAAATACATTAATAAGCAATTAATGAGAGAATTATAAACATCTAGTAAACACAAAAAAAGAAATGAAAATAAAAACATAATCTTGGCTGGATATGATGGCTCGCGCCTGTGGTCCCAGCTACTCGGGAGGCTGAGGCAAGAGGATGGCTTGAGCCCAGGAGGTCGAGACTGCCATGGGCCATGAGTCATGACTGCACCACTGCCACTCCAGCCTGGGCGACACAGCGAGACCCTGTCTCATAAAAAAGAAATAAATAAATAAAATAAAAGAATAAAAAGAAAAAATCCTTACTGATATCTTTTGTCTTAGAACTTTACTTTCTAAGAGTATTTACATAAGTGCCCAAATGAACAAAGATGTTAATTTCAGCATAATAATTAGGAATTTTCTACATCAGGGAATATTACAACTCATCCATCAATGAAGGACTGCTTAGGTAAATAATAACATATTGATAAAATGGAATATCAAACAGCTGACAAAAAGAATAAGGCAGAGGCCGGGCGTGGTGGCTCAAGCCTGTAATCCCAGCACTTTGGGAGGCCGAGACGGGCGGATCACGAGGTCAGGAGATCGAGACCATCCTGGCTAACACGGTGAAACCCCGTCTCTACTAAAAATACTAAAAAAAACCTAGCCGGGTGAGGTGGCAGGCGCCTGTAGTCCCAGCTACTCGGGAGGCTGAGGCAGGAGAATGGCGTAAACCTGGGAGGCGGAGCTTGCAGTGAGCTGAGATCCGGCCACTGCACTCCAGCCTGGGTGACAGAGCTAGACTCCGTCTCAAAAAAAAAAAAAAAAAAGAATAAGGCAGAACAAAGATGCCAAAAACACACTGTTAATGAAAAATGCTAGCTATAAAACATAAAGTACCTTCCTACGAACTCACTTTGGTACAGTCGTAGCAAAAATGTGGTAGCAACACTACCTAATTATTAACAGTAGTTATTTCTGGGAGATGGAATTCCTGAGGGCTGTTACTTTTCACATTAATTTTTCTATTTCCAGTAATTTTTGTTTGAACATTTAAAAAATTTTTAAAATAACTGTCACATGTATAATCTGAAAAAAAGATTAAAATATCAATAACAAATGTTCTAACTTATTTACTTTGAAATAATAAAAGAATTAGTTTATTGATGCAAATATCCTACCCCATCGATTTAGCAAACATCTGTAAAAATTTCCTAATATTTGGTTAATCCTGTTTTATAATTTGTTCTTTCATTTTCAATACTTAGCTACTGTTACATACAAAAGCAAATGTGTTTTTAAGAAACAAGTTAAATTATTTTAGCTGAGATTAATATTGATTGATCTGTGATACAGAATATAAACATACATGTAATCCAATCACTTTTTTCTCTGATGGAGGATACGGTAACTCAGATATATTAAAAGATGATTAATAGTTAATTGCATTTGAAAAATAAACTATATTCTTTCATAGCTGAATGAGTTAATCTAATTAATAATTTTCTTCCCTATAAATTACCTTAAAAACTGATAGCAGACCTTCATCAACGAATCTGAGTAACAGCACAACAGAAAATGCAAGCAACTGATTAGTTGTTTCTTTTGAAAATTCATGTAAGTTGATCTCCCCGTGGCTTAAATGATCTCTTATGCGGGGACCCTCCTGATGGTTCATGAAATCCCAGAGAAATTCCTTTCAGAAATTAAACACAGAAAATATTTTGTTAGTATCCGCAGCAGAGAGCCATGCTTGGTGTTGCTAACAGAAGGAAAGAGTGAATCCATCAAGTCCTCTGAAGTCCTGGGTGGGACCCTGCTAGGGAAAGCTGTTCTCCTACACTCACAGGACAGAGCAGGGAGCTGGAGAGGCTGTGGGGAAAGGCAGAGCTGCCCAGGTGGTACTGGAGTCTTATCAAATTCCAGTCTTTCTTGTTTTCACCTTCCTCCAAGGAAGGGAACTGAGTGTGAACATCTTGCAAATGAGCTTTTCCATGGCAATAAAAGAAATCATGGCTCTTGCTTGTGTGAGTACAGCCCCTGCACTTTCTCATCTGCTCTTTCACCTTCGAAAGCCTATTGCTTCTTACGACACAAGTCCAGGGCCTCTCCCATAGGTTATAGGGAAAAGAGGTCAGAAAACTGCTGCCCTTGGCAAACTGCCACTGGTCAGAAGTGTCACAGAGACTCAAGGTGGAAAGAACATTAAACTAGTTCAATCGTCTCACTTTTTGATGGCAGAAATGGACGTCCACAGAGCACAGAGTCTAAAGTCACAGACCACGAGCATGATCCTAGGTGGCCTGACTGTTAGAAGGAATGGATGTCAAACACCTATTGTAATCCAAATTAGTCACTGAAATATCTTCACAAAATATAAAAAAAAAGGATAGATGGCCTTAAACAATTAATCATTCTCTTTTCATCCAATACTCAATCTTATTACTCACATTTGACTGTTGCTTTTTTTTGATATGGAGTCTTGCTCTGTTACCCAGGCTAGAGTGCAATGGTGCAATCTCAGCTCACTGCAACCTCCGCCTCCTGGGTTCAAGTCATTCTCCTTGCCTCAGTCTTCTGAGTAGCTGGGACTATAGGTGCCCGCCACCACACCCAGCTAATTTTTTTATTTTTAGTAGAGACAGGGTTTCAACATATTGGCCAGACTGGTCTCGAACTCCTGATCTTGTGATCTGCCCGCCTTGGCCTCCAAAAGTGCTGGGATTACAGGCGTGAGCCTGTAATCCCAGCCTAACTGTTGCATTTAACAAGGCACAAATACATGTCCGTTCTACAGCACAAATATATGTAAAAAACAAATTCAAATTTTGCTTAGGGACAGAGCACCTAAATTATCAGGCCTTTAAAAAAGACATTTAAGGAGTGACAGCTTGGCAAACATCAGCTGATTGGTGGCTGAAGCTGAGACACCATAGGAATGGTTCAGAAGTGTTTTTCTTGAGCAAACCACAAGCCAAAATTAATTTCATTTTAGAGAAGTGCTGATGACATCCATAAATACAAGAATATTAGCCTGGAAAATACCTAATACTTACCATAGCAGGCTCTCCAAGGAAAAGAGGAAGCTGATTGATTTTACCATCATTCAAGTGTTTTGCCAATATCTAAAACATCAAAAATAACTACATTGATTAACTGGTCTCCATACATAAACATACAGCACTTTCAGAGTTGATGGATATAGTACTTTTAGTGTAACTTGTTATCTAAGGTCTAAGCAAAATCAAATGGCATGAGGACAGTCTTTAAAACTCAGCAAACAGGTGTTCAGGAAACATTTTCTTAACCAACATAATGACTTTAAGAATATACTATTAATTATATACACGTGTGTTTGTGTATGTGACTGTGAATATGTGTGGTGTATATATGTGTATGTGCATATGTGGTGTGAGGGTGTGTACATTTGTGTGTTTATATGCAACTGTGCCTGTGTGTGTGTGTGTGTGGTATATGTGCCTGCATATGTGGTGTGGGGGTGTGTGCGCCTGTGTGTATGTGGCATGGAGGTATGTGCTCATGTGTGTATGTATGTGTGGCGTGTGCATGTGTGTTGTGTACATATTACAGTGTGTATAGGCCTGTGTATATGCAGCATGGATGTGTTCATGTGTGTGTGTGCATGTATGTGTGGTGTGTGCATGTGTGTTGTGTACATATTACAATGTGTATAGGCCTGTGTGTGTATATGCAGCATGGATGTATGTGTTCATGTGTGTGTGTGCATGTGTGGTGTGTGCATGTGTGTTGTTTGTGTATACATTAGAGTCACTTCCAAAGTCACTTCTTAACTTACCATGGACTTTGCCCAACCACCCCAACCAATCCCACAGACCTGATCCTCTAGAGACTGGACTGCACTATCTAATCGATTCCTCACATTACCAAAGGTCTTATACATTAAAATAACAGCAGATTATTCACCTAATGGAAGAAGCTCTGCAAGTAAGCAGGTACATTTTTAACTCACCCACCACACACTCATTTAGGAATCTAACAGTTGTCTTAAAGGCAAAACCAAATGTCCAGACCTCTACAGGTGGCCCTTCCCTTGGTTTCCTATAGACTGTCACACTTCAGGTGCACACGAATGCTATCTGCGATTACACATACAAGTGCCTACGCTCTATGGATAATAAAAGGCATTTTCAACTGTGGTTTTTTCACTATTCACACCCCCAATATGCAGATTAAATGAATCAATATATACTACACACTCATAACAGGAGTTGGGGAATATTTCTTGTACAAAAAAGATGTTACCCCTAAATCTAAAATGCAAGCCTCTAAATAATTATAGCTAATCATGTTAGATCCCTTGATATTTTCCAACTTTGAACTTTGCATAGCTTTGGGTGCTAGATTGGTAATATTGGGCCTCAAAATTAACCAGAAATATCAATTATAAGCTTTTTTTGGTTTATATTACTATGGACATTTTCCTGTAAACATATGATTTATGGTTGATCTTTAATTTTGCGTTTTAATTTGTATTTTAAAAGAAGACAGTGTTCTGTTTGTTTCAAATTACCTTACAAGTGTACTTACTTCATCAAAGGTAGTATAAAGAGCTGTTGACTTCAGAAAAGGAAAGAAATTAAAATAAACAATTAAAGCAAAATACAAATACAGTAACACTATACAAAATAAGAAAAAATTCTGGTACATGGCCACACATCCCAGTTTTTTGTTAAAACAAACATTCATCTAGAAACACTATGAGAGAAATGTCACTGACCAAAGGAACACATTACAAATACGCAAAAACACAGCGCAGCTGGCCATGAAGCTGCATTAGGACACTGCCCTCAACAGAGCTTTAGCCCAGTCATCTCTAAAATGTATGATCCCAGGTCCTCACAAATCGCTGCTCATACAACAGAATACTTCTCCTGACAACTGGTATTCATGCACAAGTGAGCGCAGCTTCCTATTTTCTCCAGTGAACAGCCTTGCCTGTTTTTATTTTATTTCATGCACGCTGCTTCTCAGCATCATCAGCACAGCCTACAGACATGGGCTGTCCTGAGTTCTGATCCCAAATTCAACATTTTCTAGACATGAAACCTACAGGCAACTGATTGAACGCCACAGATGCAGGTTTTCTCGGCAAAAGAAGTGAAGAATGCCTATCTCAAAAGGCTTCTGGGGATTTCAGTGAGATTTGACAGACAGCGTGACGAAATCACTTCAATGAGATTTGACAGGCAGTGTGACGAAATCACTTCAGTGAGATCTGACACGCAGCGTGACGAAATCACTTCAGTGAGATCTGACAGACAGCGTGACGAAATCACTTCAATGAGATTTGACAGACAGCGTGATGAAATCACTTCAGTGAGATTTGACAGCGTGATGAAATCACTTCAGTGAGATTTGACCGACAGCATGACGAAATCACTTCAGTGAGATTTGACAGCGTGACGAAATCACTTCAGTGAGATCTGACACGCAGTTTGACGAAATCACTTCAGTGAGATTTGACAGACAGTATGATGAAATCAGGATTTTGTGTAAGCTAGCTCTCAAGAAATGTTTTTTGATTTATTAATGTTTTATAACCTATTTTAAATTTCAAATTGCCAATATTCTTCAACATTACTACACAGATGACTCTAAAATCTGTATCTTTAGCTCTCAAATCTGTATTGCTAGCCCTAAAATTCCCTCTGAGTTCTAAATGTCCAATTGTCTATCACACATTCCCACTTTCTCCAAAAAGCGGAATTTTTCATTTACCTCCATCAACTACATGCATTAGCTTCTACTTTGTTTTACAGAGTTAGTATAAATGCCTTCTCACTCTCCCGTGATAAATAAGCTTCTGAAGTCAGAAAATCTCACTCATATTCATATCTTCCACTGGCCCTGAAGAGACCTCATGACACAAAAGTAATCAGTAAATAATAACAGTATCTGCAAAGTCTTATTAAGTTTTATAAAATATCTTCATATATATATATTGCCTTAAAAACTGATCCTATTTATTCTGGATAAAAGCCTGGGCTAAAACTTAATATAGTCTTTGATAGATTATATCCTCTGTGGAAACAGTCATGTTATTTATTTATGAAGTCAAATGACAAGTAAATATCCAAATATCCAAATTTATTTGCACTACATGGCCCTAGAGTGATGGAGCATGCCACCATGCAGCCAGTCCCCATGCAGGTATCATGAAGCAAGGGCTCTAATGGGTGGGGACCACCTCTTTCCTGAAGCTTCATTCCACACACCGCTGAGTGGCCTACATGGAAGGCACTGGGCGTGGGCACCAGGCGACGGCAACGTGAAGGCCTGCCTCAGAGAACCTGCAGAGACCTCTGCAGAAACGCACATGAGTACGGCAAAGCAGGACTGCCTCCAAGATGAGATAGAAACAGAACACAGAGAAAAGCAGCCTCAACCTTTGAGTAGATGAGCCTCCGGGAGGTTGCTCTTGTGGTCAGAGCCCCTGATCTGGAGCGGTAAGTCTGGGGGTGAGGAACAAAGTAAGAAGAAAGACAAGCAAGTTCTGGAGCTGACAAGAAGCCTAAATTTCACTGAGGGACCCAAACAGGGAACACACCAAAGAGGAGGGCAGGGTTAGCACCCGAGGCCTTGCTGCCACGTGAAGAGGATGAACTCCATCTGGCAGGCAGCAGGACATCATCAAGGAGGTTAAACGAATGAAGAAAACCATAAATAACTTAACAATATCAGTTTAGAAAATAATCAGTGAGGCCAGGTACGGTGGCTCACACCTGTAATCCCAAAACTTTGGAGGGCCGAGGCAGAAGGATGACTTATGCCCAGGAGTTCCAGATCAGCCTGGTCAACATGGCAAGACTCTGTCTCTACAAGAAAGAAAAAAAAAAAATGTAAAAAGGAGCCAGGTGTAGTAGCACACACCTGTGGTCCCAGCTACTCAGGGGGGCTGAGGTGGGAGAATCGCTTGAGCCTGGGGATTGAGGCTGCAGTGAGCTATGATCGCACCACTGCACTCCAGCCTGGGCAACAGAGAGAGACCCTGTCTCAAAAAAAAAAAAAAAAAAAAAAGGTAAAAAAAAGAATCTGCGGGACCGTGAGAGTGAAATTTGAGGAGGAGGAAGAATCGTGAGATGAGCTCGGGTGTGCCAAGGAGCCAGGCGGGGCTTCTCAGTTTGGACAGGAAGAGCACGAGGTCAGCTGGCTGGAAACCACCAGCCGTGCCGGCCACTGAGTGGACATGGGAGGTGTGGGGGAAACACGACATGCTGTTGGAGTCTGCAGTTGGTGAGGCTGAGATGACAGAGGGAGCGTCAGAGGACAAATCTGTGGGAAACAATGCCTTTCTGAAATAGATAAACGTGAGGTGCTGAGGAAAACTCACATGAAGATATTCAGCAAACACGAGCAGATCTAACTGCAGAGATCAGATGGGGGTCAGTGAGAAGCAATGCTGGGGAGCCCGGCTCCCGGGCCGTGAGCTCTCGCAGCACTGCTTTCGCTGGGTTCAAAACTTCTCATAGGTTGGGTTTCATTTTCATTGAGTTCAAAGTATTTTCTAATTGTTGTTCCCCCAGAGATGAAAATGTAAGGCACAGAATTGCATGAGATGTCCCAGGGAGAGGAAACAGAGGATAGGGTTGAGAGCAGAGCACTGAGGAATGCCTAGGAAGAGGGGCAAAAAGCAAAAGCCAAGCTAGAGAAGGAGATGAGAATCCGAGGTGTGAGCGGCTGTGCCTGCCCTCCCTCCACAACAGATCGTCCCGTGGGAAGCTGGGTACTCGGCCACCCAGGAACGCTTCCATGCCTCCCTGGTAGCAAGTGCAACTGAGCTCTGGCCCACAGCCTGTGCTACCTCCAGGAAGTGTGCTTAGAGAGGGGCGTGCACCAATCTTCGCTTTTCCTGCTGGCTGGAAAGCAGATGTGATGGCTGACACGGCTGGCTGGAGCCAGGAAGAAGTCGTCTCCGTGAGGAAGGCCTGGCCCTCATCAGTGGAAGACGACACAGAGGGTCTGAGTGATGATGGGGGTGCTGCCATCTCCGCGGGAGCTACTCACATTTGGGAAAGGCAGAAATGCACTTCTAGCCTATTTCAGTCACTGCAGCCATATTATTTCGAGATCTCTGTCACTAAGCAGCAGGATCTTATCATAACTACCAAAAGGAGCAGAAATGAGAAATTCTAGGAGCCAGAGGAGGTAGGCTGGAAACTCAGAGACGCTTGCCTCAGACAGGGCAACCGGGGGTCAGTGTGGGAACTCTGAGGCAACTGTGTGTGCATGTGTGTGTACACACTTGGAGGGGCTCAAGAAACTGTGAGGCAAAGGTTTTCACGATCTGCTGCAGGGCTGGCACTAACCAAGTCACCTCCAAATCCCACATCTTCCATTTGGAAGATGGAGAAAGTCAAGCTCAGGTTTCAATTAGTTTCCCAAGGTCAGGATCAACCACTGGTCGCCTCAGTCTCCTGGCTGGACCCCAGCCATCTCACGCGGTTACAGTGACACACCATCAACACGGCTAGAGAGAGAATCAGTGCCTACTACGTTCGTGGCATCATTAAGTTTAAAAGACTGTTTAGAAATATTTCAGAAATATCAAAAACAATCATAAACAACAAATATAAATCCTAAAAAATGACAGTGAAGATTTCCACAGTTCTTAGCTAAAAAATGCATTTTAATGTTAAACAGAATAAAATTTTTAAAAACTTTTAATTGGTAACAGAAAACTGTTAATACAGCAACAGTCATCACAATCAGTAATAAAAACAAGTTTACCTCAGCAGTCAGGAGTCTTTTTGGACACTTGTTAAGTGTCGCAAAAACATTCCTAAGTCCAGTTTCTAGTTGTGTCAGCAACAATATGGCACAGTCAGCAAACCTATGAAATTGAAGGGAAAATAGGTAAAACTCCATGTTTTGAAAGTAAGTATTAGGCCAGGTGCAGTGGCTCACACCTGCAATCCCAGCATTTTGGGAAGCCAAGGTGGGAGGATCGCTTGAGGCCAGGAGTTCAAGACCAGCCTGGGAAACCCCATCTCTACAAAAAATTTAGAAATTAGCAGAGTGCAGTGGCACTGTCTGTAGTCCTAGCTACTCAGGAGGCTGAGGCGGGAGGACTGCTTGAACCCATGAGTTCAAGGTTGCAATGAGCTATGATTGTGCTACTCTAGCTTGAGTGACAGAGTAAGACCGTCTCTAAGTAAAAAACAAACAAGCAAAAAACAAAAATAATATTGACACCAACATCACAATAACTGCTGCAGTCTACATATCAAAGGCAAAGAGAAATTATAATACCTGATAATATGAGAAGCAAAACAGAACCAGCTGGGCGCAGTGACTCAAGCCTGCAATTCCAGCATTTTGGGAGGCTCAGGTGGGCGGATCACGTGAGGCTAAGACTTTGAGACCAACCTGACCAACGTGACGAAACCCAGTCTCTACTAAAAATACAAAAATCAGCCCGACGTGGTGGTGCATGCATGCCTGCAGTCCCTCATACTTGGGAGGCTGAGGCACAAGAACAGCTTGAAACTAGGAGGCAGAGGATACAGTGAGCTGAGATTACACCACTGCACTCCAGCCTGGGTGACACAGTGAGACTCTGTCTCAAAAAAAAAAAAAACAACCACACACACATAGAACCAAAGTTTCATTAAGTCGTGATTTTAAAAAAACTTTCCAGTGTTTTAATTTTTGATGAATCATTTTTCGTAGGTTCTATAGAACAAAATGTCATCAAAGAACTGTCTAACTCATTTCATTGCTTCTAGAAAATACTGAGGCTGGGCGCAGTGGCTCACTCCTGTAATCCCAGCACTTTGGGAGGCTGAGTCAGGAGGATCACTGACCCCAGGAGTTCAAGACCAGCCTGGGCAATGGACTGAGACCTCATCTCTAGGGAAGGTACAAAAATTAGCCAGGCATGGTAGTACACACTTACAGTCCTAGTTACTCAGGAGGTTGAGGTGGGAGGACTGCTTGAGCCCAGGAGTTCAAGGCTGCAGTAAGCCGAGATGGTTCCAATGCACTTCAGCCTGGGGGACAGGGTGAGACCCAGTCTCAAAAAGAAAAAACAAAAATGCACATACCAGGAATTCAGTGGGTTCTCAAGGCATAAAAATGAATGAATTAGGGTAATATCCTTTAAGGAACTAAAGACCAGCTCACCAGACCTTCTGGTGGCGACCATACACGTGTCTGCTCCTGAGGAAACAGAAACAGAATGTAAGGACAAAGCTGGCTTATCTCTGTTTCATGGTTCTGAACATGTTTTGCTCATTCTAAGAATTCCAGAAAATATTAAAAAGTGGATCTTGAAAAACAATTCTATCAACTGCACCAAAAGGCCAGCACAAAATGTTTAAGATACAATCACAGGCTGTCCTTGAAGCAACTCTATGAAGGTGTTTTATTTTCAGGTCTGCTCAAGTCAGTCCAGCTTCTCTTCACTCCTACTCCAACAGCAAAAAGCATCAAAAGTGAAGGGCATCAAGAAAGACTGGCCTCCAACCACTGCAAACCACTCTGCCATGCACCCTTCAGTTACCTGTGTGACTTGAACTTGACCAGTGCAACTTCCCAATATGGTAACATGATTTTTAATATAAAAGAAGATTTCGTCATCGCTTCTTCTAATACTGAGAGCACCTCATAAGTAACATCTGTAAAATAACATACAGTTTTAAACACAATCATACTGATCAACTGGAAAAAGACAGAAACATGCTGGAGGAGTGATGCCAATGAGCCCAACCGCTTTAGGTGGCTGAACCGTGACCCCTGCAGCAGGGGACTTGTTAGAGAGTAGGATTGCCCTGACCAAGGGCCTGAGGTGCAGGTGACCCTTGGAAAGTGGGGCATGGACAGCTCTTCAGTGATTTAGGCAACAGTTCAGGGTGGACCAACTGAGCACAATGACCAAGAGAAGTAAAATACATTTTCAGAAGGTGTAAAAAGACCCTAGATACTACTATTAAGTATTTCTGGTATAACAATCATGAGTACAAAGATACAAGAGATAAAAGGAGGAGAAAATGTACATCATCCAACAGCCTGAGACCACTACTGCGCAGAGTGCATCTGAGGAAGAAAGAGCTTGACTCACACAGCTGCACCTTCTGTGACCCCCACAACAACCCCAGGGCATGGTGGGAGGAGGCAGGGCTTTGGGTGGCAAAATGTAGGCGGTTCTTCAAGCAACTCTGAAAGCCATCCGACTACTGAAGAATAACTACTTCACCCCACCTCAAGAGTGCACCTCTTAATGCTGTTTACTGACTTTGCAAATATCTATGCAAAGCTACATTAAGGAAGAAATGTGAAACGTAGTACTTACCAGGAAAAACAATCAAATCCTCAAGGTTTGTAGGAGTTATGAAAGAGCGATGTGCCAATGTAAGTTTAGTTTTTTGAAGGTAACTCGTCAGTAACTGACCCAATCCTGCTGCCAACAGCATCATCATTGAACAGTATCTAGGGGAAATACCATAGAGATCTGTTACAAAAATGTACTCAATCATGCCTATAAAAAGCTTCACTGTGAAAAATACAAATTTAAAATTAAGAAAGCAAAGCACCATTAAATTGCATGAAACTGGCTGAGCGCGGTGGCTCATGCCGGTAATCCCAGTACTTTGGGAGGCCGAGGCAGACAGATCACTTGAGTTCAGGAGTCTGAGACCAGTCTGGGCAAAAAGGTGAAATCCTATCTCTACAAAACATACAAAAAGGTTATGTGGGCATAGTGGCGTGTGCCTATAGTCCCAGCTACTGAGGAGGCTGAGGCAGGGGGATCACTTAAGCTAGGAGAGGAGGTTGCAGTAAGCTGAGAAGGCACCATGGCACTCTAGTCTGGGTGACAGAGTGACACTCTATCTCAAAAAAAAAAAAAAAAAATTGCCCAAAATTCTCTAGATGTAGGAATTAGGCTGTGCAAGAGTTGGGAGGCACAATAACACCACAGAAACTCTGATGAAGACCCTAATGAAACCTCAGGGTCTTCCACCCACCCAGGATGTGAATGGCATAACATCCTTCTGGTGTCGCCCCTGAACTGCCTTTGGGGTGTAAGTCACTGAAACCATAACCCGGTCATCACTATGGTGACTACACTAGTAATACTCAATTTCATCTTCAAAATCCTATCTCAAAACTCACTCATGTTTCACAAAATCTATTTCTTTCTCATGAAATTCAAAATTTAAAAAACTCTTTGGTAGATCCAGAAAACGAAGAAAATTCCTTCACTTGAAACTTACTTTGGAGGAACTTCTTCAGGTGATGCAAACCCATGCCATAAGACGTTACGCAGGTTGAGACCACACGGAGAGCCAACAAAGACTTTTAGCACATTCATCTAATCCGGTTAAGGACAGCAAATCGTTACATAGTTAATTATTATTGAATTACTGAATAAACCAATATAATAAGAATATCATATTTCTGTTCTTTTTAACTGACAGAGCCAACAGTTTTGGCTAGCATATAGCAGTAATAATAATAAAACCAACATTGAGTGTTTAATATGTGCTAGACACATTTTACATGTATTCATCAACTCACTCATCCTAAGAACAACCTACGAGGAAGGTACTACTATTATCCCCAGCATCTAGGTGAAAAAAATACAAGCATGGAAAGGTGAAACCAAGGTATCAAAGGCTACAAAATCAATATGGGGGATAAGATCCAACCCACGTTATCCTGCTTTAATAAAGTGCTTCAAATGTGCCTAACATCTAAATAAAATGTAAAAAGACAATGATATGACAAGCAGAAACATATCACTGTATTAAGCAGCATGCAATTGTGTGGTTAAGCAGAGGCAGCAGGGGATGCCCGAGCAGCATGACTCCAGGCTTGAGCCTCCACTTCCTAGCTGTCTGACTTGAAGCCCAACACTGATCCACCCCACCATCTATTTACAGAGTGAAGAAAACACCCAACCAGGGGTCCTACTTAATGGACTACAATCATGCCATGCCCAGAGAACTGCTTTGGGTTTGAGGCACCATACTTAGAAGAAACTCAGAAAATGACGGAAGATGTTCAAAGACTAAAAGAACTTAAAACCCTGTCATAGGAGAAAGAATGGTTGAGCCTTCAGAAGACTCGAGAAGGAAGTGAACACTGTATTCATGCATGTGAAAGATGGCTGCTGAGAAGGGAATGTGGATGCATTCTGAACTTCCCTCAGAGGGGAGACCCAAAACCAGGAGGTGGAAATGATCAAGAGCTGTTCTACTGAATGGAGGAACATTTAACAAGCAGTTCTTCTATGCAGCTTCAGGAGATCTTTTTGCTCTACCAATAATTTATGAAATATTCATGGTTCACACTATCTGATCAATCAGATGTATAAATGGCAGTGACCAAGTAAAAGTAGCTGGCAGCTGAAGGGGCCACAAGTGGGCAGAAGGCCAATCACATATAAGCAAGTACCAAAGAACAGATCAAAGAAACAAAATGTATTTAAGAATTCAGTGTAACAACAAGAGGTTTGCACTTTTTATCTTCATTCCATGCCCTCGACAAAAGAAAATGATATTTAAGCTGACAAGGAGTAAAGACCCACAGAAATGAATGGAAAAGCTCCACTGAAGACAGATTTCTTCACTCCAAAAATCATCTGACAGCTTCCTGGCTTGGCAAGCGCAGCTTCCACATAAGGCTCTCCTGGGTTTCTTCATCTTGACCCTGCCTCACTCAGTTGCATAAGGATATTCATTAGTCTTAAGTCTCTTGATCACGTGCCCTTTAGGAGATTTTAATATAGTATGTAACTGCATGAGTTTTTTAACATCTGAATTTTTTTTCCACTGTAAGTTTAAATGGTTGCAAAAGGCATAATTTCACGTTAAAATTTCAAATAAAACCATATTATCACTCATTTAAAGGGTTAAAGTTGTATTCTGGATTATTATAGTTAATAATATGTAACTGATCGAGGCAACATGCTTCACATTGGCCCTGTGGTGCCCCAGAGTTATTCACACTTGGGATAGGAAAGCTTTCTACGAGCTGGAGGAGCGGCAATTTTGAAAGGGAAGGTGGGAAGGAAGAATATGCTTGAATCACTGATACAATTTTTTCCTAAAGCATCATCAATTTGGGAAGAACAAAAGCATAGCATATGTGAATTGTTGTTTTGCACTTATTCCATGATATGGTTTGGCTGTGTCCCCACCGAAATATCAACTTGAATTGTATCTTCCAGAATTGGAAGATACAAGTTGTGGGAGGGACGCAGGCAGAGGTAGCTGAGTCATGGGGACCAGTCTTTCCTGTGCTATTCTCGTGATAGTGAATAAGTCTCATGAGATCTGATGGGGTTTATCAGGGGTTTCCACTTTTGCTTCTTCCACATTTTTCTCTTGCTGCTGCCATATACGAAATGCCTTTCTCTTCCTACCATGATTCTGAGGCCTCCTCAGCCATGTGAACCTGTAAGTCCAATTAAACCTGTTTCTCTTCCCAGTCTCAGGTACGTCTTAATCAGCAGCATGAAAACGGACTAATACACTCCATGAGTTTAGACGAACAAGCTTACCACAGACTGCCCGAAGACTTGAGCAAGTTCCTCAGATGCAAGCAGATCTCTTAAAAGAAACGGGCATTCCTTCCCAATCAGTAAAAATACCTAAAATTCAAACAAAAATTGTGTAACAGTTGCATTATGAGTCAATAAACATTAAAAACATTATCCATGAAGCAACTGTTTGTACAAATGAAGGGTGAAAAGTACTTAGACACCAATCCTTTGATTTCATAATCATTCAAAAGGGAAATATTAAAAATGTATACCAAATGATTTTAGGTTATAGGAAAATAAGAAATCTGAGGACAACTGTAAAATAGCTTAATGTTCATTCAGACAATTTAATGGGACAATAATGGAAGAGTTCTCGCACTTACATCACCCAAGGCTCGTTCCAGACACGATGTCAGTTTCATTAAGCTAAGAGAAATAGCGGGAGATTGTAGACTTTCCAAGGCATCAAATATTTCAGGAAATAACTATTTAGAATAAAACATATATTAGGATGTACACTCCAAAACTACTTCTCAAAATAACATTATTTATTGAAATTCAAACCTCGAGAGATTTCAACTGCTATATTTTGTTATTTTCAGCGAATAAGTAAACATTTTCTGCATAACTATATTGCTTAAAGAATCAATAAAAATATTTTAATAGCTAAAGAATTCCTTGAAAGTTCTTTATTTAAACGTTTATTGAAAGCAACAAATCTGGCATAATTTAAGTGGAAAAGTCAAGCATTTCGACTTCCATCATGTTTCTCCTTTTGATTCGGCTGAGTCCTCAAACAGATACACACAAGGCAGCTCATCCTGCCACTTAAAAGCGCTAGTACAAGGGGGACATGATGATTCCTTCACTCCAAATTCAAAGCAGAATTAGACTTGTTACAGTTACTGCTTTACTATGGTCATTTAGTGTGCCAAATAAAATGAAGAAAAACTGACCAAAAAAACAAACCAAAACAAGATTTTGGGTTGGGGCCCAAATTACCCATACTCCCTTCAGTTCCCCATTAACAAACCAAGTATCCCAGCTCTGGTCTCCAGGCCCGGCTGTCTTAGAACACCTCAATACCTCTCCACAGGGCCTCTTATTCTGGAGTGGTCAATTTTTCTTCTATCCCTGGACGAGCACGATGTGCTAAATGTTAGCTCTCCAGCCCCTAATCCTGTGATAATGGATCCAAAACCTTCCTGTGTTCCAAAGGGCATGTTTCTCAGCTCAGGGTTTGGAGACCCGGCATAAGAGCCCAGGGTTTTCTTGCGACCCTCAACACTTCTTCACAGCTGGAGGGCCTGGGGATGAAGGAAGCCCCTTTAAAATTCGCAAATAATAAGTCCTCTAAGTAGTATTTGCACAGTCTTTTATTTCTAAAGGTTGTTCAAAAGCCAAACCTCTGGAAAACTTGTCCACTGGAACCACGGTGCATATCGAATTTCAAATTGTCCCTTGGTCAAAGATAAGAAATGTGAATGGACGGCCTCACACACAGGGCCAAGCAGCCTCACGCTTCCCCAGTAATCCAGACCCTGATCTTAAAGGATAAGAAAACAAATTTCAGCACCATAGCTCCATATCATGTGATATAAAATATCTACATCATCAAAGAAAAAATGCTTTAATTATAAAATTTCCAGAAAATCAACAATTAGCTTACCATTGAACATATGATATACTTTTACGTTGTTGGAAATAAATCACATAATGCTTATCAGGTTATAAAAGAAAACTATACTATCAGCAGAGAATTTGGAAAATACAAAAAGTTTCAAACAGGAGAAAACTATTTTTGTCAATGTCTTTACTTGTACATATGAACACAGAAAACCAGGCTCACACTGTATATACAATTTTGTAACCTGATTTTTTTTAAGTTAAACCAGGCTCACACTGTAAACACAACTTTGTAACCTGATTTTTTAAAGTTAACGTTATTAGACTGAGATTTCTAATGGCAATGAATTGCTTTAAATGTATTTATCATATGAAGTTTTTGTTTTAAGTTTTTTTTGATAAGTTTGGGATTAACCATCCACTTGGTTCATCATCAATAAATACCAAAGGGTAATTACAAATACAAGCCCCTCCTATTTTTTTCCAACTTAGCTCAGAGACTTTTGTATCAGATGAGCCTCCTCACTCTTTTGTACCACTGCATAATATTCCATTATATAAATTTATCATAATTTACTGAACCAATCCCCTACTGCTTGATGTTTGGCTGTTTATTTATTTAGCTGTTACAAACAATGCTGCAAGGAATAACCTTGCACAATCACACTTTCATATCTGTATTTGTCTTAAAGATTCCTGAAAATGGACTGCTAGGCCAGAGTATGTTCATTTGTAATTTTTACAACTATTATTAAATTTCCGCATCTATATCTCTGCTCCAAAGTGTGCAAGAATGCCTAGAAGACATTTAAAATAACTGTATAATCTATTACTGGTCATTTTCTACCCTTAATTTATATGACTCCTATGGAGAATCATCTCAAGGCCCTGAGATCTACATCATCAACAGTCCACCAGCCCCTCTCTGCCTCCTGACACCTCCTCTGTAGAGGAGGTTTTCTTAGCCCAGCTTTCCATTAATTTCTCCATGCTTCTCTGGACTCATCCCTTCTCTTTTCACATTAATTCCTGTTCTCCTTTGGAGTGAGGCCTGTATTATAACATTATCTAACAAAAGGAACCAGTGGTCAGAAAGGGGAATTTTACAGGTCAAGACATTTTCAATGGAACAGTTATGAAAGTTTGGAGTACAAAGACAGCACAAACCTGACTCTGTGTAGCTCACACAGTCTGTGATTGTTTTCCAGCATACTTCACCATTCTGAGTAACAATGCTATTGATATCACAATTTTCTCTGAGTTGAAACCCAAGATTACAAATTATATCATACACTGAGGGAGAAAGACATGTGGTAATAGGGTCCCCTATTAATACCTAAAAAAAAACAAAATAAAAGGCACTGCTTAACAGAAAGAAAAACAGAGTATTATATATTTAAGTCACAAGAAAATACTCTTAAGAACTGAGTGCACTCAGGTATAGTTGCTGTTAACATGCTTTCTGGATATCATGAAAGTTGTATGATTAAAACATTGTGATTAAATATTAAAGATAATTTGGCCGGGCGCAGTGGCTCAAGCCTGTAATCCCAGCACTTTGGAAGGTCGAGGCGTGTGGATCACGAGGTCAGGAGATCTAGATCATCCTGGCTAACACGATGAAACCGCGTCTCTACTAAAAATACAAAAAAATTAGCCGGGCGAGGTGGCGAGCACCTGTAGTCCCAGCTGCTTGGAAGGCTGAGGCAGGAGAATGGCATGAACCCAGGGGGCGGAGCTTGCAGTGAGCCAAGACTGTGTCACTGCACTCCAGCCTGGGCAACAGAGAGAGACTCTGTCTCAAAAAAATAAATAAATAAATAAAGATAATTTATATAAATGTTCTCAAATATGATAAAGGTTTAAAGACTTAAAATGATCAATCATAATATTTGCAAACTGTTCTGCCTATGGGGTAGCCATTCTTTACTCCTTTACTTTCGTAGTAAACTTGCTTTCACTAAAAAAAAAAGAAAAAAAGATAGGAGTTCATGGAAGCTGAATGTATTTTACCAACAGAGCATTATTCCTCTCAGCATTCCTTCACTATCCTAGAGTTATCAAAATAAGCAATTTTTTAAAAATGGGGAATGGGAGAGCAGAAACCAAGTATAATGAACAAGAAGGAAAAAGAACCCCACGTACCTCTGACTCCCTAAACGGTGTTGGAGAAAACCACAATGTCAGCCCAAAACATGCCTCTTTGATATAAAAACAACAACAAATTGGAGCTGAAGACAAGAGGCAGCAAATGAAGGAAAAGCTCTCTCTCTTCCCCCTCTTCCGCCCAAACACAGGATATATATTCTTTACTGGGGATAACTTTCGACTCTTACCAGACCAGAGAAGGTACCAGAGGAATCTACAAACAATTTTAACTCCATCAGTTTCCAAATATGTATCTACTTTCCCAGTTTCTTGCCCTTTGAAGCCTGAAACTGCTCTCCCGTGTCATTTCTCTGCAAATCTATAGTTCTTTGTTGAAGATGGTATACAAATGCAGTTCTAAGCCACCATTTCAAGTTACTTTTCATTGAGGTTTATCCCTTGTGATGTGTACTCTGCACATTAATAAACTTTTTTCTTATTAACCTTTCATTTGTTAAAGGGGTCACTCTGAACTAAGATGGGCAGAGGTAAAGTTTAGCCTTCCCTGCCATGTAAAAAGTAGCAAACCGTACTGGTTTTCCATGGAGAATTAAATAAAATCAAAATCCTTACGACTATACCACATGACACTAAGATCATCTATAATCCTGCAAAGAAGTCAAATTCAGGATCTAAAGCTGAACCGAGGCTCTTTATTTTGGTGTGTCGAGTTAAGGGGTGGCTGTGTTGTGACAGTCACAATTAACTCTGGGCAGCTTTGTAATGTGGAAACTGATCAGTCTGAGTTCCCTCGTCCTGCTCAGTATCAGTTGCCCTGTTTGCTCCTCCTGTCCCCAGAAGTTGCACTTTCCACTCTCAGCCCTACTTTTTGAACAATCCCAGTAGGCGCTAACAATTAAGTCATCACTAAAGAAATCGGCATGAACTATTTTTGATTGGCGATTGTCACTCGCATCCTCCCTTTGGCTCTATGGGGCTGGAACTCTGCAGACTACACTGGGCCGGTGCTTTGGGGCTGGACCTAAATTTGAATCATTCCTCGGTTTCTGACTATCTCTTGCCTTGGAAAACTTACTTTATCCGAATCTCAGTTCTAAGTGAAATAAAACGGTGCCAGGCTGCACCTTGTGGGGCTGCAGTCATCAGATTATACATGAAAAGCATCTAGCACATAGTACTCAAAAATGGTAGTTATCGTTATCGTTATTTCGGGAATGGGGTCTCGCTGTCGCCCAGACAGGGGTGCAGTGGCGCGATATCGGCTCACCGCAGCCTCCACCTCCTCGGCTAAAGCGATCCTTCCACCTCAGCCTACGGAGTAGCTGGGACCACAGGCGCCACCACGCCCGGCTCCGCTGTCGTTACTGCTGATGATAGGTGTTTGATATTTAATTGCCTCAGGGAGGAAAAATAAATGTTTATTACGAGGCAACCAGATCTCCTGACACGAGGTCGGTGAGGCCGTCGTGATGAGTTATAGTGACTCAAACGGTCTAAAAGCGATGAAAACAAATTTACTGTCCGAGTGTGGATCTTACAGGCAACGACTAGGAAACTGCGCTTCTAGGAACCAGGCCACGGTCAGGTGAGAGCCCGACCTGCGGCTTTCCGCCCCCGCGCACTCCCCTCCCTGACCATCCGCCGCGTTCCAGTTGAGGGTCAGGAGGCGACGGAGAAACCGAGCCTGGCCCCGGAACGCCGGCAGGGCCCGCCAGGCGTCTTGCAAGGCCGAGCGTCCGATACCGCCAGAGGCCAGGGCCGCGACGTCGCCAGCGCCCTCCAGCGCGGGACCGCCGGCCACCGCAGGCGCGTGCTCGCCCACCCACTCCGCGTAGTCGAACACCACCCAGCCTGGCGCTGACTCCCTGCCTAGCTCGGGATCGAACCGGGCCCTGCACCCGCCCTACCTCCATAACTTCCGGTGCCCCGCTGCGGCGCGCATGAATGACGCAGGCACCTGCGCGCCCCGCCTCCAGACGCCTTGGAGCCCCAGCAGGCACTTCCGACCGTACCAGGCGCAGGTGGGAGACTTCCGGCCTCGCGGCAGCGGCTGAGGCGTTTGACGGTCGGCGGAGGAGAGGCGGAGGGAGTCTTGGGGAACAGAGCGAGATGGAGAAGCGAGGCCGAGGCGTGAAGTCGAGCCTCATCCAGACCCCGAACCAGAGCTCTCAGCAGGCGCCGGTGACGCCTAGGAAAGAGAGGAGGCCTAGCATGTTCGAGAAGGAGGCAGTGAGTGCGGAGACTGCTAGGGACCCGAGACGGCTTTGTCCGACCCTTTAATTGAAATCGCTCCTCAGTGGGCCCCTCTCCCGTCACCACCCCCAGAGCCAAGAAGGCAGCATTTCCCTTTTGTGTTTCTTTTTTCCCAGGTGCAAAATTGAAGCCTGAGACTGAGTTGGGCAGTCCCCTTTGGACTTGAGTGCTAAAGTTTTCTTGTTTTTTAATTAGGGCCGTAGAACCCTACTAAGTCGATTGGAAGGGTGGTTACAAGATCTTTTCAGATTTACTCAGCTTGCGGATTTCCTGAGAGTACTCTGAGTATTAATTATTGCTTCGTACTAAAACACAGTATGTTAGTGTATTTAGTGCCATTATAAGCAGTTTTGCTAGCAAAAAATGAGTCTGTGCCGTATTTAAAAAATTTTGATAAACCAGGCAGAATAGTGCCGTGTTTTGGGTTTTTAAAACATCAGCAGTCTGGATCTTTGAAGAATGTACAGGAGAAAAAAACTTAAGTTGAAAATATTCTGTCCAAAACTTATTGTCTGATATTGATGGAAGGGGTCATTATTCAGTTGTATTGGTGGTATAACACAGGTCTTTCTATATGATTAGGCTTTGAAAACCGTTAATGTATTAAAGACTCCATCTTTTATTGATACTAGTTTGCCCAAGGATACAAAGCTGTAGTGATAGAGCTGGGACCAGAACCTGTGTGCTGGTACTCGGTCCACTTGGCCTGTACTGGTTTCTCTTCATACTTACTTCATGGATCTATAATAGGATGAAGTCAGAGATGACAGGCAAAACAGTTTTTTGAAGACCCTAAAACATTTTAAGATTACTCTCAAAAAGAGAATTCTCAAAATAAGTAATGGCGAAATTTCAGGTTCTAATAATGTTTCCTTGGTGACTACATTTTACAGAGGAGAGAACGAACTAAAGGAGGAAAAGTAAACAGGCCAAGTTTACACAGCTAAGAAAAAGAGCAGAGCAAGGCTAGAAACCTAAATTGATTGGACTTAAAACTTCACACTCCCAAACACTATGCTGTTAGCTTGGCAATGAGTTTGAATAACAGATAGGTCACCAACAGTAAAGAAAAATTTCTATATATTGAGGCAGACAAGGGTGGCTTTTATAAGCTTACTGCCTATTTGAGGTCTGAAGTGGTCTTTAAAATTCAGTGAGCCTGAACTCAATGAGGAGACACATAGGTGCACCTGGTATATAGGTTAAAATCTGGGAGTGAGGGGACATGGACCAAAGTAATTATTGCTTATTTGATATGGATGTCATCAATTATAGCTATCTTTAAAGTTGTCTTTTAGAGGTGAGAAATTTGAATAGAACAATAATTGGGAAGAAATTGAGGACTCTACAAATGCTCACTAAATGTACGTGAGGAAACTGCACTTAGTCATTTCTAATTTAAGGTAGCTGTTAATTTCCCTATTTTGGAGCACAGGAAAATTTAAGACATACTGTTTAATCAATATGACCATCTCTTGATTTTATCTGTCTTGCCTCCATTTCCTTTTTTCTAGTGGTAGCATCTCAGTTAACTTTTAGAGAATTAACTCATCTGCAATTGCATAGAGCTTTGGTGAGATTGTCAGCTACTTCCCTTAACTTTTTAATGAGGATGAGACCCAAACTAAGCTAATTAGATGAATTCTTTGAAATAATGCAAATAAAATGATTGAGGTTTATTCACATTGAAGATGAGAAGCTAAAGTGCTCCATGTGTCTTTATGAATCTGGTTCATCAGCCTTCTTTGCTGTTATGTAAACTGTATCTTTCCAATAAATTATACTTTGGCTTAACAAGAATGAGTTCCTGTTGTTGAGATCAAAGGTTAACAAAATGCGAAGTAGATTACTAAAAATGGAAAGCTTAACTGTTCTCACCTGTGCACATGCGTTTGAAAATCTTAAATACAACCAGGCACAGTGGCCCATGCCTGTAATCCCACCACTTTGGGAGGCCAAGGCAGGTGGATCACCTGAGGTCAGGAGTTCGAAACCAGCCTGGCCAAGAGGCCAAAACCCCATCTCTACTAAAAATACAAAAATTAGCCAGTGTGGTGGTGGGTGCCTGTAATCCCAGCTACTCAGGGAGGCTGAGGCACAAGAATTGTTTGAACCCGGGAGGAGGAAGTTGCAGGGAGCCGAGATCATGCCACTGCACTCCAGCCTGGGCAACAGAGTGAGACTCTGTCTCAGAAAAAAAAAAAGAAAAAAATCTTAAACACTAGCATGTGGCATTTAGAAATAAAAGTAATATCTCATGCCCAAGCTCATTTTATTTTAGGGCTATATGTAGGCTCAATATAAGGAAATGCTACATCAGTAGAAACTCAGGTATTATTAGATGCCAAAAAGTTGATCATATTTAAAGCCTATTCCCAATTTTAAAAAGATTGTAAAGATTCTTAATAAAAGGAATAAAATACTCTTAATAAGTATAGCTTAATAAGTATATTATTATACTTAATAAATATAGTCAGCCAATATTATACACAAAGGAGAAATTGTACAGATGTAAATTTTCAGCTTATTAGAAGCATTAATGGCTATTTTCAGGCCACACATGAATGCCCCATTTCCTTAAGAATCATTGCAGTTGAAAGCTGCTGTTAATGATGCTAGGTAGTTGCATCCCTTGAGTATACTGTAGAGGAAAGGAAGGTCCCAATCACTGCCCTAGAGAAGCATTCTCTTAATAAACAAAAACAAAATAATTTTGTTTTTGAGAGGTTTAGGGAGTTAATAATGCTGCTTCTGCAATTAAGACACAGAAGCCTGACAGATGATCACAACAGGAGATTTATTTCTGGTGAGGGACTTTTACTCTCAGCCAATATGGAGTAATTTTTACCAGAAACTACTTAAAGTAACACACAAAAATTTATGGAGCAGTTGTTTCCATTGATTTGAGTGTCAAACAGGACAAGAGTGATCTCCAAGAGATGAGAAATAGGTAAGGTAAGCCCCAACATTGCCCCCACCTTAATTGCCTGGTGAGACTTTCTAGGCCACAACACAAGGAAAGGCCTCCTTTAGTTCAAAAGGAGTTGGGAGCCTGGGAAGCCAAAATAGCATGAGACTGAAGAGCAGAGTATTAGGACAGGGCTGCACAAACCGCCCCAAAGACCTACAGAGCGTTTCTCAGAGTATTCAGCTTAGTGCAGCAGTGCATCTGGTGAGGAAAGTTCTCACCAAAGGTGGAGAGTGGAGGTGGAGAAAGAATCACCCAAAAGGAATAAAAATATCCTTGGGCGTGTTCCCACCAGAAAAAGTGGAAAACCATGAAAAATATAGGGCTTTGGTTAGCGTGCTAAGAAGTGCATTGCCTTAGTAGTGGGAAAAACAGAGAATGAGTTATTTGATCTGGCTTATCAAGGTTGAGAAGCAAGGCTCAAGAGGATTAAACTGTTTCCAAATGTCTTTGTTCTAGAAGAAAGCTCAAGAGTCTTAGGAATACAAAAATATCCAGCCTGTAAGAAGGTAAAATTCACACTGTCTGGTCTCTAAATACTAATAGACCTACATAGAAGCAGGAAAATAAAGTTCAAAATTGAAGAAACAGTAATAGCCCAGAAATTACACAAAATAGAATTAATATAAACAGACATTAAAGTAGTTAAGAGAGTTATTAGTTTTCATCAAAGTAAATCATGTGAAATTATAATTACATTCCATATATTTAAGAGTGTAGAGAAAGACTGAGCATGTTACATCCAACTCAGACTTCTGTAGATGAAAAATACTATGTCAGGAATGAAAATACACTAAATGGCATTAACAGCAGATTCAGTGCAGAAGAAAGGACATTTAAAGACATAGAAATTGGGGAAGGATGCTGAAAAAAATATTACAAGATGTCAATGAGCTTTGACAGAACTTAAAGTAGCCTAATGTTCTTGTAATTTGAGTCCCCAAATGAGGTGAGAGAGGACAAACAAAAAGTATTTGAAGAAATAAGGAATGAGAAATTTCCAAATTTGTTGAAAACTAAACCCACAAATCTGAGGCTCAGTGAACTCCAAGCACAAGACACGTGAAAAAAATTACGCCAAGACATGCAATAATAAAATTGCTTGAAACCAGTGATTTAAAATTTAAAGGCAAGTAGAACAAAGGAATGTTACATACATAGAAACAGACAAAATGACAGCGTACTTCTCAGAAACAATGCAAGACAGAAGACATTGAAGCATCATCTTTAAGGACTCAAAATAACTATCAACCTAGAATTCTATACTCAGCTAAAATATCATTCAAAAAACAAAGGTAAGACTTCCAGCTTCCTGTTCTACATGTGAGGGGCTTAAAGTCCCTACTATGTCCTAACAAGTAAAGAGCTGAACAAACTGGAAAAATTAACTCTTCTTAGATCCATAAGAGAAGTGAGGTCACAGGATAAACTGCTGCCCCCAAAAGTAGAGTGACAAGCAGCAGTTTGCTCTGTGACCTCACTCCAGCCCTCCTTAGCCATCTTGTGTGACTTAAGCAAGTAGGGGAAAAAACCAGAAAACTCAGAAACATTTGTGAAGTTCACAATCCAGAAGCACAGGTTCACTAAAATACCTAGTCCTACAACTATGGAATGCTTCCTCTCCACAAATACATTACGAGCACATTACTAGAGGCCTCGTTACAGCAGTTGTTTTTGTTTTTTTTTTAAATTTTTTATTATACTTTAAGTTCGAGGGTACATGTGCACAATGTGCAGGTTTGTTACATACGTATACATGTGCCATGTTGGTGTGCTGCACCCATTAACTCCTCATTTACATTAGGTATATCTCCTAATGCTATCCCTCCCCCTCCCCCCACCCCACAACAAACCCCGGTGTGTGATGTTCCCCTTGCTGTGTCCAGGTGTTCTCATTGTTCAGTTCCAACCTATGAGTGAGAAAATGAGGTGTTGGGTTTTCTGTTCTTGTGATAGTTTGCTGACAATGATGGTTTCCAGCTGCATCCATGTCCCTACAAAGGACATGAACTCATCCTTTTTTATGACTGCATAGTATTCCATGGTGTATATGTGCCACATTTTCTTAATCCAGTATGTCATTGATGGACATTTGGGTTGGTTCCAAGTCTTTGCTATTGTGAATAGTGCCATAATAAACATACATGTGCATGTGTCTTTATAGCAGCATGATTTATAATCTTTTGGGTATACACCCAGTAATGGGATGGCTGGGTCAAATGGTATTTCTAGTTCTAGATCCTTGAGGAATCGCCACACTGTCTTCCACAATGGTTGAACTAGTTTACAGTCCCACCAACAGTGTAAAAATATTCCTATTTCTCCACATCCTCTCCAGCACCTGTTGTTTCCTGACTTTTTAATGATCGCCATTCTAACTGGTGTGAGATGGTATCTCATTGTGGTTTTGATTTGCGTTTCTCTGATGGCAAGTGATGATGAGCATTTTTTCATGTGTCTGTTGGCTGCATTAAATGTCTTCTTTTGAGAAGTGTCTGTTCATATCCTTTGCCCACTTTGTGATGGGGTTGTTTTTTTCTTGTAAATTTGTTTGAGTTCTTTGTAGGTTCTGGATATTAGCCCTTTGTCAGATGAGTAGATTGCAAAAATTTTCTCCTATTTTGTGGGTTGCCCGTTCACTCTGTTGGTAGTTTCTTTTGCTTACATCAGTTTCTTTACCTGGCGAATCATGTCTGTCTATCAAGAAAAAAATTAGGCATACTAAAAACAACAACAAACACACAGAGTGAGCAGCAGAACCAGACATGGCAGGGATTTTGGAATTACCAGAATTTAAGTAACCATGATTAATATGTTAAAGGGCTGTAGTTGATAAAATAGCATGCAAGAGCAGATGAGCAATGTAAGCATAGAAATGGAAATCCTAAGAAAGAACTAGAAAGAAATGCTAGACATCAAAAAACACTGTAACAAAAGAAGAAACCTCAAAAGAAATTTAAAAAATACTTTGAGCTAAATAAAAAAGAAAACATATCAAAATTTGTAGAATGCAGCAAAAACAAGGCTTGGAAGTAAATGTATAGTATTGAATGTGTGCATATATTAGAAAAGAAGAAAAAGCTAAAATAAGCCTCAAAGAAACTAGAAAAAGAAGAACAAATCCAAGAAGAAAAGAAATAATAAAAATTATAGCAGAAATTGATGAAATTGAAATCAGGTACCAAAAAAACTGAAAGCTTTTTCTTTGAAAAGATCAATAAAATCTATAAGCCTCTATCCAGGCTAACTAAGAAAGAGAGGACACAAATTACTAATAGCAGAAATGCAAGTCAGGATATTGCTAGAAATTTCATGAACACCATAAATATAATAATAGAATATTATGAACAATTCTGTGCCCAGAAATTTGATAACCTAGATGAAATGGACCAATTCCTTGAAAGATGCAATTTCCCAAAACTCATACAAAAAGAAATAGATAATCTGAATAAGTATATATCTGTTTTTAAAAATTGAATCAATAACAACCTTCCAAAGCAGAAATCACCAGGTTCACATGATTTCGTTGGTGAATTCTACCAAGCATTTAAGGAAAAAGTTATATCAATTATTACAATCTCTTTGAGAAGATAAAAGCAAAGAGAATACTGTCTAAATCATTCTATGAAGTCAGCATTACCCTAATACCAAAGGCAGACAAAGACGCTACAAGAAAAGCAAACTACAGACCTGTATCATATATTAACACTGATGCAAAAATTCTCAACAAAATACTAGCAAACTGAATTCAGCATTTTATTTAAAGGATTTGACACCACGACCAAGTGAAATTTGTTCCTGGAATGCAAGGATGATCCAGCATATGAAAATCGATCAAGGTAATACACCACATTAACTAAATGAAATAAACCACATGATAAATCTCAATTGATGAAGAAAAAGCATATGTCAAATTCAACACTCTTTTATTATAAAAACACCCCAAAAACTAGAAATAGGAGGAAACTACTTCAACCTAATAAAAGCTCTGTATGAAAACTGCACAGCAAATGCCAGGCGTGGTGGCTCACACCTGTAATACTAGCATTTTGGGAGGCTGAGGCGTGCAGATCACGAGGTCAGGAGATCAAGACCATCCTGGCTAACACAGTGAAACCCCATCTCCACTAAAAAAAAAAAAAAAAAAAAAAAAAAAAAATTAGTTGGGCATGGTGGCATGCGCCTGTTGTCCCAGCTACTCAGGAGGCTGAGGCAGGAGAATCGCTTGAACTTGGGAGGCAGAGGTTGCAGTGAGCCAAGATCATGCCACTGTACTCCAGCCTGGGCAACAGAGCAATACTCTGTTTCAAAACAACAACAACAACAACAACAACAAAGTGCACAGCAAACATCATACTCGATGGGGAAAGACTGAAAGCTTTTCCTGTAATATTAGTAACAAAGCAAGGATGTCCACTTTTGCCACTTCTTTTCAACATAGAATTGGAAGTTCTAGCCAAGCAATTAGGCAAGAAAAAGAAATTCCTGGCTATTAATAAAATGAAGCTCACTGCTTTAATTTAAGAGGCTAGAGCATTTATCTGGGACATACTGGACACTATGCAAATATTTCATTAATGCATATTGGATGTCACAGAATGAATGTTTCATGTCAAAAGCATGAACTGATAAATATTGAATCAATGCTCTTTTGGTATCTTTTCGGCTTAAGACTTATGAATGTGCTACCTAAATAATTATATTATTTAAAAATGAGTAAATGAAGTAAAATAAAATTTTAAGACAATGAAGGATAATATTTTCATAATCTCAGGGTAGGGAGGAAGAAAGGTTTTCCCTGTATCTCCATCCCATAGCCACTCAGTTGCTCTCCCTGGAGGCCACTCTTGTTTCTAGTTCCTGTGGATCATCCATGGATATTCTAAATATATGCATGCAATTTGTGTGTATATGTTTGTGAGTATAGATAAAAGGATAAACAGTATTCCTTTTTTTTTTTTTTTTTTTTTTTTTTGCCAAATTGATAGCCAGGAGCAAATCTAGGATTTAGCAACCACATTATTGTAGAAGTCTGTTTAACAAATTTCCAAGCTTTGTGTGAGCGCTGTCCCATTGTACAGGGTTTTTTAATCTGAAAAATCATTTTACAATTTAAAAAGTAATCTTTCTCCCTTTTTCTCTTCCCCTCTCTCTCCTCCAGTATGCACAGATTTTAAGAGAAAGACTGAGAGAGTCAGTTCACGATGTTCAGTATGTAGAGCCTCCTTTTGATGACTCAATTGCTGATATAGGTAAAGAATGGAAGAGTGCCCTGGCAAAATTAAAGTTTGCTAATTCATATAGAATGGAGCCACTGAAGAAATTCCAAGCTCATTCAGTACAAACTAAAATCCAGCAGATACTAACAGTAGGTTGATAAATATATATGATAGCAGTATTGTATGAGGGTTCTACAGAGAAACAGAGAATATATATACAAAGAAATTCATTCCAGGAATTGGCTCATGCAGTTGTCACTAGAACCAGAAGGCCTTGTGTGTCATTGCTGCAGGCACAACAAGTCAGTTAATCAGAGATGTGTAGTCTGTCTGCTAGGTGTCCAGTTCTGCTCCTGGTTTGTAAAAAAGAGTAATGCTTTATAGCCCACAAGCCATGTCCATTTCCTTCAAGTCATACATTAATTTATTAATAAACATGGTTAGAAATCTTTGAGTTCACTTTCCTGGAGGCCAGAGAAAAATCAGTGGAGTGAGAGGCTACAGAGGAGGGTTGGAAAGAAGTAGTTTTAATGTGAGCCCACTGAGCAGGGCAGTGACATGGTACAGGTTCTGAGTCCAAGTAATCTTCACTATAAGAAAACCAAAATCTGAATTTTAATACATGTATAAATTTTAAAAGGTTTCTTTCCTTTACCTAAGAATTTCTAGAAGTCTTCTTTGGAAAATCTCCTGTGTCTCTCTATTAACTGTTTGGCAGAGTAGTCTAGTAAATTACAACTTATAGCTTGTGTCGATAATGAAAAGTAATTGAATATAATTTGAAAACCCCAATAAATATTCCTCAAAATTGTTACAGAAATAGGTAAGCATAAAATGTATTTAATATTATTTAGTTAGGAATATATTTATTTTTAAACAGTTATATATATTATTTAGATATGTTTTCTACTTGAATTTTTATATAGAAAATATTTGGTTTGAAAATAAAAGTCTTTTTCTTAAATTTTCTTAAAGGAAAATCTTAAAGATGTCAAATATGATGATAAAGTATTCTCTCACTTGTCACTTGAATTGGCAGACCGCGTACTGTTAGCAGTCAAAGAATTTGGGTACCACCGTTATAAGTTCATTATAAAAGTATTATTTATTCAAAAGACTGGCCAAGCAATAAATGTAAGTACCCCATTGATACAGGATCTAGCAATTAGAACTATAAGGCATCTCCTCTCTAGTGATTTGATTTTTATTGTGATGACTCAAGGGCACTTTCAAAAGAAAGTATCATGTTGTTAAATGTATTTATTTCAGTGTCAATTATTTGAGAAGTACAAATCAGCGGGGTGCATTGGCTCATGCCTGTAATCCCAGCACTTTGGGAAGCTGAGGTGGGTGGATCACCTGAGGTCAGGAGTTTCAGACCAGCCTGGCCAACATGGTGAAACCCCATCTCTACTAAAAATACAAAAATTAGCTGGGCATGGTGGTGGGCCCCTGTATTCCCAGCTACTCAGGAAGATAAGGCAGGAGACTCTCTTGAAACTGGGAGGCGGAGGTTGTAGTGGCCCGAGATCACTCTACTGCACTCCAGCCTGGGCAACAGAGCAAGTCTCCATCTCAAAAAAAAAAAGAAAGAAAGAAAGAAAGAAAAGTACAAACCTAGAAGTAGCAATTTGGTACTAATAATTTATTAAATTGCATTGCTATTCTCTTCCTTAAGCATATCAATTTTGACAGTTTAATGTAATTTAAGTTAATTAATTAACCAGTAAATTTATTTTGGGCACTAGTGGGTGTTAGGTACTAAGGAAAATACAAGGAATGATAAAACATGGACCATGATTCCCAAGGAGATTTTACTCTAGTTAAGGAGATAATGCAGCGCAATTTAGAATTTAAGGAAATAAAACGATAGGAATAACGTAAACAGCCTGGGTTTTGGAGTCAGATTGCCTCTGCAGCATTTGCTGGCTGTGGCCTTGGCACAGTTTCTTCGTCTATAAAATGGTGATGATAAAACTGGCTTCCTAGAGCTGTTGTGAAGATGAAATGAAATTATCTATATTAAAATCCTTAACATAATCACCAGCACAGAACCCTCAAGAAACAGCAAGGTAATTATTAAATTATTTATTAACAAAGAGATAATATCACTAGGCTGTGTAATTATCTAAGGAGTTGATAAGGAATATGTGGGAGTTGGAGAGAAAAGAGAGAAAAAATTGCATTTGGAAGAATCTGTAGAGGTTCCATTTAGGAGTGGACTGCATGATGAAGCGTGGGGAGGGGGACCTGGACTGGCAGAGGGGTACTGAGGAGAGAACAATCAGCAAGAAAGAACCGTCCTGGCTCCCATGGAGAAGAGAAGCTGCACCACATATGACATACAGATTTAAGAAATAGGGATGTTCTAGATGGTAAGTGCTACAAAGAGAACATTAAGGTAGGGATATGATAGAGTAGCAGAGTGGCTACTTGGGATTGTTTAGAGAAGGGAGAACCCTCTGATGTCCAGATAAGAAGGAAGCAGCTGTATCAAAGAGGAGGGAGGATGTTCCAAGCAGAGAAAACTTCACGTGCAAAGATCCTGAGGCAGGGATGACTTTGTGTGCTTGATATGTAACAAGTAGGTAGTAGAGAGTGGCATGATGCGCAGTGGGGGAATGTTTCAGCTTATATGATTGCACAACAAACCACCCCAGAACTTAGTATCTTATAACAACAGCCATGTATTTGCTTACTTTCTGTGAGTCAGCTACTTGGCTTTTCTGCTGGTCTCACCGATGCACTTGTAGCCATGTAATGACTTACCTGGGCCTGCAGGTCCAAGACGGCTTCTGTCACTTGTCTGACTGTTGGGCTAGCTGTGGCCTGGGTCCCTGGGTTTTCCTGCATGTGAGCCAGCATCCTCCAGTAGGTTGAGTGGTCTTTCATAACATGGGGGTCTCAGCATAGTGTTCCACGAGCATGAGAGCGGCAGCCACAAGACCTCCGAAGGACTTGCTTGGAAGTTTCACAGTGTCATGTTTTACAACTCATAGCAAGTCAGAAGGCCAAGTCTTATTCACGGGTAGGGACATAAAGTCAACTTCCTAATAGGAGAAGCCATAAAGAATTTTTCGGCCGGACGTGGTAGCTCATGCCTGTAATTCCAGCACTTTGAGAGGCCAAGGTGGGCGGATCACCTGAGGTCAGCAGTTCAAGACCAGCTTGGTCAACATGGTAAAACCCCATCTCTACTAAAAATAGAAAAATTAGCTGGATGTGGTGGCAGGCACCTGTAATCCCATCTACTTTGGAGGCTAAGGCAGGAGACTCACTTGAACTCAGGAGGTGGAGGTTGCAATGAGCCGAGATCACGCGATTGCACTACAGTCTGGGAAACAAGAGTGAAACTATGTCTCAAAAAAAAAAAAAAAAAAAAAAGAATTTGGGCCATTTTAGATCCTCCACAAAGAAGTGGGCTGAAATCAGATCACATACGGATTTGTACACAGAGAAAAGGAGTTAGAATTGTCCATATCAGCCTACTTGTATAGTCAATGCCATTTCTTCATTTCAAGGCAAGGCCCTGACAAACTTTTTGGCTGAAAATCTTTAAAGGGTGGGAAGACTTCCTTGTCAGGGACTACATGGCAGAGTCATACTGTATGCAGAGCCACTACATCCCCATTCCCAGGGGCCTTCTGCTCCTGGCCCTGGAAACACAGCTAAGGGAGCCTCTCCCTGTTTTAGAGAAAGGTCAGCCTCTGTTAAAGAAGGATGGGCTGGGGCAGTGTCATTCTCCAGGCTTTTTATGAAAGGGAAAACCAGACAAATTATGTCTTAAAAATAATTTCTGAGATACTGATGCATTCATTTTTTAAAAACTAGTGTAGATTTGAAAATTACTTCTTAATATCTAAAGTTGGTCTTTACAAAATTTCTCTCACAGATTGCTAGCAGATGGATCTGGGACGTTGCATGGGATAGCTGGGTCGCAGCTAAACATGAAGCAGAATCCTACGTGGCACTGGTCTTGGTGTTTGCCCTTTATTATGAATAGCTCATTACAGGTACTAAGGATTGTTTACTTCTGAGCTTTTCAAAAATAAATGAAATTTACATATTTGTGAACCTCATAATATTTCTGATTTGCTATATTCTTATTCTCATTTGAGGACTTCCAATTGTATTATTTTAACAACAAAGTAGAAGCTAGATTTTTACATTTATACTTACTATTATATTAACTAACAATATTATGCCAAAGTAGTATAAAAGGTGTATGCATGTGTGTCTGTGTGTGTATGTATGTATGTGTATACAAATTCTTATAGTAGAATATAGGTAAAAGATCATTTTTGTAAGATTTAAGAAAATTATAATTTGCTATAGGAAATTAAAATGCAACCGTGTAAAGTATCAAATTCAGTAGATGTTAAGATAGATTTTGGAAATTTCTAATGATATTTTAATACTTTGTATTCATTGTTTTGAAAGGAATTACCAAGTTTGAAAGAAAGATGTTATTATATTTCATAATTCCCTAATATCCTCTCGCTCCAGCCAAACTGCTTACAAGTGTGTAGTCAATTTACTAATCTATTAGGCTCTGTTAGGCTCTGTGAGCCTTCTCGGATCTTTTTTTCAGATGTGGGAACTGAAAACGCAATATTAATTGTTTAAATAAATGAGGAAAATTTTATTTCCCAGGGATTTGATCAAGGATCCAGGTTCTTTCCAACTTCCCACTCTCCCCACAGACTTCCACATACATTCATTTTGCTTGACAGAATTTAACCATGTTCCTATGACTAGACCAGTTGTAATTCCCTCCTTAAAGTTGGGGCTGGAGCCTACCTTTTCCAAGCACGAGATCATGTGAAAAGTGTGGATATTGGCCAGGCACAGTGGCTCGCTCCTGTAATCCCAGCACATGGGAAGGCCAAGGTGGGAGGATTGCTCTAGCCCAGGAATTTGAGACCAGCCTGAGCAACATGGCAAGACTCCATCACCTAAAAAAAAAAAAAAAAAAAAAAAAAAAAAAAAAAGGAGAAAATTGTGGATCCTTTGTACAAATTGGGATTTTTCTAGCAGAGAGGCAGGGTGTGCACTTGTGGGAGGCAAGCAATACCTGTGATAATCAGTATGATTTTCGTCATTACAACCAAAACTGAAAACAACCATGTCAACATTGACCAGTAAAAATGCCTATTAGTTGAATTATCTATAAACAAGAAGATAAAAATGATAGAGGAGGGTTTTTTTTTTTTTCCACTTAGGTTTTATAATGAGTTGGTGTCAGTTTCCACTTATGAGAGTTAAGGAGCTGAACTAAGATTCCTGCCTGAATAGATCCAAATGGAGTTTGGCTGAGGGAGTGCATGAAAGTTTGGCCAGAATTACTCTTAGAAAATCACCTCAGGCCGGGCGTGGTGGCTCACGCCTGTAATCCCAGCACTTTGGGAGACCGAGGCAGGCGGATCACGAGGTCAGGAGATCGAGACCATCCTGGTTAACACGGTGAAACCCAGTCTCTACTAAAAATACAAAAAATTAGCCGGGTGGTGGCGGGGGCCTGTGGTCCCAGCTACTCGGGAGGCTGAGGCAGGAGAATGGCGTGAACCCAGGAGGTGGAGCTTGCAGTGAGCCGATATCGCGCCACCGCACTCCAGCCTGGGCGACAGAGTGAGACTCCGTTTCCAAAAAAAAAAGAAAAAAGAAAGAAAATCACTCCAGCTCCCTCCTGCTGCCTGGTGAAGAAGGTGCGTTGCTTTCCCTTTGCCTTGCGCCATGATTGTAAGTTTCCTGAGGCCTCCCACCTACGCGAAACTAAGGGTGGGGCCAAGACTGCCAACCAGAACCAGCACCATATGGGAGGCTCCTACGGGAAAAAAACATAAGCATGTGGATCCTTCACCAGTAACCAAGGTATCCAGGTTGTCTCATCAAAATTGACTAGAAGGCTGGCATGACCCATGGAGAGAAGGAAGAGCAGTGTGGTGGGGGAGCACACCAAGCCAAGGGAGGTGGTGAGTAAGCTGCTACCCAGACAGGGAAACTGCTTTTTCCACGGAACTGTGCAACCCACAGATCGGAAGATTCCACTTGCAAACCTACGCCACCGGGGCTTAGCATCACAACCCTGGAACGTGCAGATTCTTACAGCCTCTCAATTGGAGTCTGCTTAAGCTTACCGAACTCCCATGGGGAAGGGTGGCCAGCACTGGCTGCAGCTGCCTGATGTCTAAGCAATTTGAGCTCCTTGTGAGAGGGGCAGAAGCCACCACTGGGACTTGCAACTGCCTAACATGCTAAGCCCCCAGGGTAGCGGAAGGGCGGCACCCATTTCTATAGTTCCAGGCTGTGCTTTTCCCCTGCTGGAGCCAGGCAGGCTAGACAGCTTGGTCCCAAGACTTGTCCCCACAGCCCAA